GACGCAGATCGGTTTGCGGACAGTGCCAAGGCGTCCCATCCATCGCATGCTGACAGCCAAAGACATAAGCTAGCAAAATATTTCCACTGTCCTTCGTTTGGTTCAATATCAGCCGGCAACATTTGTTGACAGGCATGGAAGGATCCTTGCTTGGTATTTGCCAGAAATCATGGTGCCTGATAGAATGGTATGAATTTGATTTGATTACAGTTTAAGTCCTTTTAATAAGTTATAATTAGGATCGTGTCAACCAGTCCATCAAATTGCTGAGACCTGCCTTAGATCAGTCTTTGCCCAAGCCCACTCAGAAGGCAAAGCAGCCTTGGCGTTCTCAAGGATTTGTCATGCCTTCAAGCGGGGGAGAATTTGGAGTAGGAAGGGTGACTTTATGCCCGGGAGGATTCATGCAACGCCATGAGGTAACTCTGTATTCGTATACTTGCCGTGATACAGAACTAACTTAAATGGGCTAGCGGCTTCAGGATGACTTGTACCAATCAAGCTCCCTTTCTTCACCTGCAGTCCGAGATTGGTTGTCCGAAATAACCGTAACTGAACATTTGTGGTCCGCTATCACCAGTCTTATTGCGCCAGATCAATATCAGGCCGGTGTGGAATCTGTTGCTAATATGAAGGATACGGTTCGTACCTCAGATCCTGTTGTTTGGCCCTTGGAGTTTTCTGGATTGGAAGTTATTGTCAACCGAGAGACCCCAAATCACCGAGACCCTGGAGCATCGCCTTCATTCTATGACCTTTTGGTGAGCCTTGGCAAAGGTCATCATGCCGTACTAGCTCTGCCAGATCTGGGTGCCGAGCTAGCATATCCGCCTGGCACTATGGTTTACATTTTAGGGAAGGTGCTGGAGCACGGGGTGCCACGGTGGGGTGATGGGGAGAGAATTGTGATTGCACACTTTGTCAAGGATAAAGTGCACGATAGGCTTGGTGTACCGAGACCAAAGTTTCCAAACCAGCGGGATTTTCTGAATAGAGTGGGGGCAGGTAAGAAGGGGGGTTTAAAAGCCATTCGGAGATCAAATAAGAGCAGGGGACGAGGAGTAGTTTCCCGAAAATAGATATCCCGATTAGACAAAGCTTGTGATTTTAAATCGGTTGACTTCTCATACACTGGAATATTTCCTCGGTCTAAGCACTATGTCCTCAAAAAAAAGGCAGCGTCTCAAGGCTATTTCTTATTCTTTCCAACATAGAGGAAAGTTATCACAAAAAAAGGATCCGGATGTTGATTATGTTGCTCACGAACCTACAAGAGACAAGAGGGGAAATCCCTCTTGGGTTGAGTCTTGTGCTGATCGGCTGTATCAAACTTCGCCAGAGCCTACTACCAGCCCAAGAAAACGAGTTAAAGAAGTACACACAGAATCACCAGACATCCAAGAAGAGGATTTAAATCAGGAAATGTTTGGTGACTTTGTTATTGACGAAGAGGCTGCTGAGCAAGGGAGAAAAACAAAGGTATGTCTAACAGGCCTTGGCTTACTAGTAATTGTTTCTCATCAATGGCATAGACACAAAATGACTTCATATCAGAGTATCTCGCTCACCGAGATGTGTATCTAGATGTCATCTTGGACTCAGAGAAATTTGCCACCGCAGGCATCTGCGAGACTTGCCAATGTGAAGATAATTCCTTCCGTTGCACAACTTGCACTGGCGACCACAGCTGGTGTCGCCCTTGTCTCCTCAAATCACATCAGTCATTGCCTTTCCACAAAATCCAATTTTGGAATGGCAAGTGCTTTGAAGACGTCACTCTTTCTGCCCAAGGATTTATATGGTACATGGGCCATGGTGGAAAGTCTTGCCCTTGCTATGGAGTTGGACAATGTCACCTTGATCAAGATTCTTCTGTGATTATTGTACATTCTTCTGGGGTGTTCACACACAATGTGTCGTGGTGTCGGTGTCCAGGATCACACCATGAACATCACCTGCAGCTGCTCCAAGCAGGACTATTTCCCGCCAGTATCACGCGCCCTAGGACTGCGTTCACCTTCGAAGTACTGGATCATTATCTCATTGATGCCTTGGAATGCAAGACTTCGGCAATGAGCTTCTTTGAGAAAATCCGACGGCTGACAAATAATGCTTTTCCAGATGCTGTCCCGGTGAGTAGAACCGACAATACCATAATTCTAGCTCATACTGAATGCAAAATCCCATCTGTAGGATCGATATCGTGAACTCATGAGAGTGTCTCGACTCTGGCGCGACTTGAAGAACCGTAAATGGTTTGGATTTGGCCATGACATGGAAGCACCCCCTAGTGCAGGAGATTTTGCTCTATTTTGCCCTTCTTGTCCGCAGCCAGGAATCAACATGCCTCTTATTTGGGAGCAGAAGTACGAAAGGCAAGTCAATTCCAGCAATCCTTGTCTGCCAGACTCCGGCCAGTACCCACAGTGCATAGCACAGCAGTGGTCCTGGCCGGTAATATGTGTCAGCTGAGTCCTGGCCGGTACCTCTTGTACGTAGCCCAGAGTCAGTCACGGCCGACCATTTGTCTCTACTGGCTTTGGTCTGCCAGACTCCTGGCCAGTACCCACAGTGCTAGCACAGCAGTGGGTCCGGCCGGTACCTTCTGTACGCAGCTCAGAGTCAGTCAAGGCCGACCATTTGTCTCTATTGGCCAGAAGTTGTTGTTCCAGATAACTCGCGGATGCTGACTTTTTGATTGCAGGTGGCTTGTTATGAGAAGATTTGTGGTAGATGGAAACTTTACCGCTCAGCACATGAACATGCGACAGCCCTCAGCTTGACGTCTTCCTCTCAGATGGGTTGTAGGTTATATGGTAACAGCAGGAGATTACCAAGCTCACTTGGCTTTCAGCTATGGAGAGTAAAGAGGTGAATCAAGTTGCTTTGCATTGTTAGTGGTGGCTGAACCTGTAGAAAGAGATCCTCGTGTAGCAACCATCGGGCAGTCAATGCAGCAAACACAAACAGAAGCAACCTCCGAGCTACAGGGGTCGGAGCCACTGCTTGTGCTCGGCATGGATGTTTTGTTCCCCACTGCATAGTGGACTTTCAGAAGGGTGAACGGCAAGTTTTCTTTCATTTACTCAATCTAGGTTAAGACGAGCCTTGGGCTTGACATGCTGACAAAATCACTTCAAGCCATATGAATATAGATTATTCCATTTGCAATGCCATTAAGCATGCTGCTGGCAACATTGACAACTCCCTGATCATCTATGATGTGGGGTGCCAGTGGAGCCTTAACTTCACTCAACGTGTTGACAACTGCCCTGGATTGGAGCTCCCAGACAACACTGAGATTGTGGCTGCAGTGGGGAAATTTCACTTGAGCGCTCATAAACTTGCCTGTTTTGCTAGATACAGCTTAAACTTCATTCAAGGAGCTGGGCAAGTTGACGGGGGAAATTCTGGAGACACTTTGGGCTCCCTTTAACAAGATATCTCCCACAGCACGTTCTATGAGCCAAGCACACCGTCAAGAAATTCTTGATGATCATATGCGTAACTCAAATTGGAAAAAACTTGTCAGAATAGGTAAGTGCCTATATTTGGAATGAATGACATCACAGTTTCACACTGATGCAGTTAAGACGCTCTTGAGAAAGTACAAACGGGCCAACAAGGGCATTGAAGACACTAGGGTGCCATTTGAAGAGCTTACAGGATCTTTGGATGTCATCAAAGTGAGGGCATGGGAAAAAGATGAGGAGAAGGCAAAAGAAGAACGTGGAGAACATCTCGACATCTACCAGCTAAAGATAGCTAAAGGTGAGCACTTCGAAGCTTCTATTCAGTTCCCTGTGACGTACATTCTGATTGGGTGATTGGAAGCACCAACAATGGCAGAAATACGGCTAAAATTAACTGAATCAGAATATGCTGATACAGGGAGGTTGGGATCAATTTCTTGGCTCATTGACGGCATCAATATAGAGGATTCACAGTATGTTGTTTCATCATATATATTGATGGTGGTGATGTATTTCTAATTACTATCTAGGGATGCACTCAGGGTAGCTATTCGGCAGCTTCCCAAAGATGCATCTGCAGTTCAAAAGGCTGCAGTTCAAGTGAAACGACAAAAACTGGCTGCACGTATTTCGAAATTTCATGAAATTGCTGATGCTATGACAGAGGGCATTGAAGTCCATGGGGGTACTGAGCACATGGATGACATCAGATTTTGCACTACAGATGTGGTGGAGGAAGTACGCGAGGCTGCAGATATTGAAGATGTGTTGGAAGAGATTGATGAGGAAGTTCCTGCAGAAGCCATGGGCATTTGGATGCCATCTTCAGTGCTCCGAAATGAGGCTTTAGCCCTGGGCTTGCACACTCTGCAAGCTGAAGAACTGGAGTTACGAAAGGGTCAAGCAAATGATTGCTTGGAAAAGTTACGGCAGGCTCTCGGTCATAAAGCGATAATTTACCGTCAACATTTCCGAAGTGCAGATTCCACATGGACAGGAACCAGGTCAAAGCAGGAGGCTCTTCGATGCCGTATCAAAATAGAGAAGTGTGTCCGAAGGTATCAAAGGGCAAGGGGTTCAATGCAGAGACTAGGGGCTGATGAAGATACTCTGAGGACGATTTATCAAGACATTCAGCCACACCAGCTCAGTGTGGACAAGGAAGTGACGGAAGAGAACAGATATGGACAGGGATCAGACAGACTGGCTTGGTTTTGGCTAGTCAATAATGGTCATGATTCGCAGGAAGATGTTTGGATGGATGAATGTAAGTCATATCTAATATGCCTATTTTCTGCAGTGACAGGTATTAGTCTACAGGGTAAATTGGTTGAAAGCTAAGGCTAGATGGCAAAGGTGGGAGGAGGAGTTGAGATTGGTCCAACACGAAATGGGTTGGACAGTGAGTTGGTTTAAATACAGGATGGAAGAATGGGACCAAAGATACCGACAAGCTACAAAGCCTGGTCATCAAGCTTATGCACATCGACAGGTGCTCTTGTGGGGAAGATTTGCATTGGATGCTGAAAATTCATTCAAAGACAAGATGATTGTAGTCACTTAACAGTCTTGGCTATTATAATATCAAAGACTTATCTAGCCAATATATGATAGTTATGGTGGTCAGGAACACTGCATATACCTCATACTCTAGAGCTGGCCCATTTATACTTGCAGATAGTACAATTTGAATGACTAACTCTCAAGTGATAGTACTAAAATCAACATCTTTCTTGATAATACTTTGTCTAAGGTATTAGCCTGGAGATGGCTCGGCTGGCTCTGGTATCAATGTCTGAAGTATCGGCCTGCCTGCTTGTACACCACATGATCCTGATCCGGCCGACTCTGTTATCAATGTCTGAAGTGTCGGCCTGCCTGCCTGTACGCACCTTGGTCCTGATCCGGCCGACTCTGTTATCAATGCCTGATGTGTCGGCCTGCCTTCTTGTACACACCATGGTCCTGATCCGGCCGACTCTGTTATCAATGCCTGATGTGTCGGCCTGCCTTCTTGTACACACCATGGTCCTGATCCGGCCGGCTCTGTTATCAATGCCTGAAGTGTCGGCCTGCCTTTCTGTACATGGCCTGGACATGCACCGGCCGGCTCTCTCATCAATACCATGAGGAAACCCACACTTTCCTTATCATTCTTGAGTTGTTTTAGATACTTGGGTTCTTGACCATGATGCTCAACATCACATAAGACATGAACACTTATATATATTTGTATACTTACATTATCTACTGACACTGATCAACTTGCATAAGTCAAATATCCTGCTGGACTTGAGTATCTTAGAAGTGCAAGTCATGGAAAGACTTGGCCAAGTATTATACAGTTATTCAACAATGTGTAGGTTTTTGCTGATGCCCTAAGTTGTTGGCTGGTACTGATGTATGTGTGTAGGGAGCCTCACTTGGGTGGTCGGCCAGTACCATCCCCACACCTCTGGCCAGCACCAATGTGCATGTATAAGCAGAGGTCGGCCAGTACCATCCCCACAGCTCTGGCCAGCACCAATGTGCATGTACAAGCAGAGGTCGGCCAGTACCATCCCCACAGCTCTGGCCAGCACCAATGTGCATGGACAAGCAGAGGTCGGCCAGTACCATCCCCACAGCTCTGGCCAGCACCAATGTGCATGTACAAGCAGAGGTCGGCCAGTACCACCCCCACACCTCTGGCCTGCACCAATGTACATGTACAAGCAGTGGTCAGCCAGTACCCACATGTATAGACAGCCTCACCTAGTGGTTGGCCAGTACCACTCTCACACCTCTGGCCAGCACCAATGTACATGTATAGGCAGTGGTCAGCCAGTACCCACATATATAGACAGCCTCACCTGAGTGGTTGGCCAGTACCACTCTCACACACTTGGCCGGCACCAATGTGCATGTACAGGCCGGTGCTGGTTGGTACACATTCTACAGCCATTTGGCACATCCGGGGCACCACTTGTACATAGGGTTATGACTGAAGTATGTGGTTACTGGGCGTCCATCATCGCATGTATCCCCATCGCACGTCGTAGCCGTCAATGCAGCTCAATCTTTACAAGCCATTGGAGGTCCATCATCACACGCGTCCCCATCGCACTTTGTGACCAACTACCACACCAATCGTGACTCAGATTCACATACGACCATTGAAGGTTCCTTCAACAGGTTTCTGGTATGGATGTGTTATCCCTGTGGACGCTACAACAATGATTATTAGTGTTGTGCGGGTTTTCTTGCTGTGCGTAGTACTATAGCTAAGTTGTATCCTTCTTTCGTTTTGAAAATTTGTTTTTCGCGTTGGCTATCAAACTTATTCCGCCACATCAGTGATCATATTATTTTCTCTCGCATGTAGGTGATTTCGTAACCACATTCTGTCCCATGGGTATTGGTTTGGCTATCCTCGTCATTACATGTACACGTGTTCTACTACGGAAACACTCAACGGGCGGCTTTGCTCAATACATCAACTTTCATAAGCACAAAGCGGTTGTTTGGATCTAAGGGATTTGCCAAACAAAGCCCCCTTCCATCACAACCGCGGCTGTTTTCGATACTATCATATGACCTTTTAGGACTTTCATCCTACTCCAGGTTCGCGTTCCGGGGGAGGATTCCGCTGTAGACCGCTACAGAGAAGCTCTATTAGTACGCCTGCGACCACCATCCATCCAGAATGTGCTGATTTGTGAAATAAACCAACGTCACTGGCACACTAAGGAACGGGGATACCCACAAAATCTCGACCTTTGCATCAAGCGCTACTCTGAAGAGCTCCAATTTGACCCAGATGGATATCGTCTGCCTTCGTTGCTTCACAATTTTGCTTCGTCTCTTATGACGCGTTTCATTCACTATTATCACCCCGAGGACCTGGAACGGGTATTAGATCTAGGTGCTTCTGCATTGGAACTACGTGAAAGAGGCAATGAGTGCAAAATGTCCTCTCTCATGGTGCTAGCTGCAATGCCAAGGGTCTCCAATATAAGCTCGAAGGTAATGCTCTAAGCTGCATTTTAGTATCTTGACGATTCATATAGTATGTGCGCGCTTGGCTACCCGTCCTTTGCCGACATCTGGGAAGGATGCTCTCGTATTCATCTTCATGCCTACTCCAAGGTACTGCAATCTACAGACCACTTGGAAGAAGCATTTCGGTGCCTTCAACTCACATATCTGGGGGCTCGCTTCCAAAATCCTGCCTCGCATTACGATGGACTAAAGGAGCGGAGGCACACAAGCACTCATCAGCATTAGTACTGTATACCCACCAGATTACCTCGAGTATATTCAATCATCATTTCACAACGAAGCCATTTATGGAATCGCGACATCGCATAGTCCGTGAAAACACTTTTCTTTGGCCCCAGACGCCGCATCGTGCGCTCTCAGATGTGGGCTGGTCACAACTCGCTATGGACATGCTGGAGCACGGACAAGGGCTTTTATGGACGTACCTTGCGCGTTTTCGGACGCTGCTGGATGACTCGCAGAGAACCGGTGAACGCGACTGTCAACTAACCGCTGAATTTTCGAGACTGAGCCCTCTTCCTCGAAGACGCAGCATGTGGTTCTGTGACCAAAGAGGAATTTCAGCACCACCTCGTCTCCTCCGGGAACGAGACGGTATGGTAGATCAGGTTCGGTGACTTTGACTCGCACCGAGCTTTTCTAAGCTCAAGGAAGCTGAAACGAATGGACTAGTTATCATGATCAATGCGAGCCGCTACCCCTGCGATGCAATAATCGTCCATCATGACCATGACCCAATCCATCTCTCCCTGACCAATACAAACACGTCCCGTATCCTTCAATTGTCTTCCAGTCCAGGGACTTTGCTACGATTCTTGGCGGAGCGTGCTCCAGGTAAAAGCGTCTTACCGATTTACTATGTGAAATATGGGACGATGTCATCCTTCCTGTAGTCAAAAGACTAGAATCCTCTCCTCGACTTCCCAAAGGTTCGAGGATACGGTGGTGTCCCACCAGTCGTTTCAATAGCATCCCACTCCATGTGGCAGCGCCGTTCCTGAAAGGCGAGAAAGGTCTGCGTCTCGTACCCGCACCTATGCACAACTATATCGCCTCGCGTATACTATGATAAATTTTCCCGACGCTGGCGAGGACTGCAAGGTGTTATATCGGGAGCAGGGCTTTAAACGAGCAAGAGAGGGTCAGAGTTCGGAGTACATATGAATAGCAACGTGGGCTCTGAAGGAAACAATACATAAATGCGAGAAGCTAGTGTTACTTTGATTGGAATTGGGTTAAGTGTATAGCCGGGAATACCAGGATGACTGGAATTGGGTAAAAGGGATCGTGATGTGCGAAAATCCAAATGCTGTATTGCGGCAGGAACCTGTGAATGGACAATTAATGCCGCCTCGTGGGATCCATGCCTTCTGCCTGCAAGATATAAAACTCAGCCAACTTGCCCCTAAACACAGACCAATCAGTGAGTGCTAATGAGCTTGTTCGCTCCCATAACTGATCAGCAACCACAGTAGAGTCAGATTGATCCACCAGATTGCGGTAGCGGGCTATGTTTTCTGAAGAATCTTCTGCATTGTTTGCCCTCGGGGAAGCTTCAATCCCAGGGCAATCCAACGGATCAACTCCAAAGCACAAATTCGGAACACACGAGAGTGTTATTAAGGAGTTTGTCTTCTTGCACGACAACGTTCACATTGTGAGCAGTTCCCAGGACGGCACAATGCAGAAATGGAACTGCGATACAGGGCTTATGGTTGGAGAACCATGGAAAGAGAAGAGCGGAAGCACATATGCACTGGCGCTTTCACCGGACGGCAAGATGATTGCATCCGGGAGGGATGACGGAAGGGTTCAGCGGTGGAATACCAACGGGGAGATGATAAAAGGCATTTGGACAGGTCATAGCGGCCGGGTGATGTCGCTCTCATGGTCTCCCAGTGGAAACCATCTTGCAAGCGGATCTTATGATGGAACAATTCTGATTCGAAAAGCAGAAAACGGAAAAGTGGAGGTGGGCCCCATCAAGACGGAGCAGAACCATGTGTGCGCTCTTGCATATTCACCCTCTGGAGACCGAATTGCATCTGGCGGGTACAATACAATTTGCATCTGGAACACGAAGACCGGCAAGCTCGTTGTCGGCCCCTTGGAAAGCATGAGGGCCGATGTGACATCGTTGGTGTGGTCGTCAGACAGCACAAAACTGTACTCCGCATCCGATGAATTCGCACGTGTTTTCGATAGCAAATCAGGTAAACTGCTCCATGCTTTCAAGCACAACCATTTGTTGGACTCCCTTGCACTTTCACCCAAACATGATGTTCTGGCGTGCGTGACCGACGGTATTGTCAAATTATGGGATACGGAATCCTATCAGCCACTTGGCCAGCCATTTGGCTGGCCGTTCGGACTGTCTCTCGCATGGCCTATCGATGTGTCATTCTCTCCAGACGGGAGATACATAGCATATGGCGGAGCCGACAACAGACTCACTCTCTGGTCTGTCAAAGACATAGCTCCTCAGCTTGCAGCACCCATACTCCCTCAACAAAGCGACACACGAAGCATACAACAGGAAACTCGGCCCAACTCCCCATTATCATCATGCCTTGAAGTCAGTACTTTCTCGTTTGACTGCCTGTCTTCCTTGCTCACAGTGCTATTGCAGGCTGATGCTACTGGTGGCGATGGCATCATTGAGGAGGGACACTATGATCCATATCACAACTTCTTCCAGGTAACACTCATGTATCTCGTGCAACTACACAGTACTGACAACATTCAATTGTAGTCTTCGTGTCAATCTTTTCCATCGGCAGCGCCTGGCTCCCATCTCCCCCACCTATTTTCCACTCGTCGCTTGTTGAAGGTCTTCTCTCGACGTCACCCACCGGTAGACGAGTCCGTTCGCAAAGAACGCTTGAAGCGCAAGTTCTTCGCTTGTCGTGCTCGCTCGAACTCGTCCCTGAAGCTCGCAACCATCATAGCAAACCAACCAGTACCAGAAGGGAAAGTTGGAGAAGTTAAAGGCAATCAAGGTGCGAGTATCGATGATGTAAGTGCCATTTCAAATTTTGCACACTGACATCTCAATACCACGGCTTTCAGTGGGGTTCTGCAAATTATTCCCTCGGCGCCGGAAGGGATAAAGGCAACCAACAAGATGATCCTCCCGCCGACGCACAGAGCCCACTGCCTCATGCACTCACTCCCCCTGCCGACCTCGATAGCAAATATACTCGAAACCTTTGGAAATGGCTAATGCAGGCACGAGGAAACAATACCATATTCAGTTCCCTGTATTTCAGTACTTGGCCTTCAAATGCACCCCAACCTATACCCCGCCAGCCTTGGCACCGGAATTCCAACCCATTTCCCGTAAGATCTTCCAGACGTCCCGTTGATGTGGCAGCTTGCCGCGACGAAGATGTGAGTAGCTTATCATTGCTCCTCGTTCATATGATTTAAATCATCGTGTAGAGATATGGCATTGTCCCGGAATCTGACGCGGAAGCAGCTGCAGCCATGCTACGTACAAGCGGCAATGAGGTCGACAGTCCAATGCGACCAAGTCAGCCTGCAGTGGGGGCGCAAGTGTCTCACGGACGGCCCACACAAACACAAGCCTTGACGAGCGGGCCAGAGGGAGGCGTCTATGAAGGAGTAAGCTGCTGCGGATTTTTCTTTGGCTATCGTCGTCGTTCCAACTCGCTTCAGCCATGATGTCATTTGCTGAGACCCTCTTACTCTTTGTCACTCAATCAATTTCTTTTGTTTGCATAGTATATGGACCATTTCATACACAGCTCTGCACCGTCCGATGTACACGAGCGGTATTATACTCGCATAGCTGACCACATGACATCATCTCAATTCGAAAGAGCCGCGTCCCGAAACCCAATTGACTGACATGCATACCCTCTGAGAGTTGTCCACGGTTCACTGCGAGTCACTCATTTGCGATAGCGCTTTCTTCAACCACTGTTCGTACCCCTGGTCAATGCTGACCGAACGAAATCATACAGGAAATATTATCTTGGTATCGCAGCAGTAGCACCATCTCAATTTAAGAACACTGTGGTCAGTCTTCTTCCATAATCGGTCTCGTTTTTCAAACCTTACATCATACACGAACCTCGTATCATGCATTTCGCCTTGTCTTTAATGACCGTGACCTCGAGATTGACGCTTGGTTTCTGATAGTGCTTCATGGAAACTTCATTTGTCCAAGGCAGTCGATAAGCGTCAGTGTCGAATTCATACGAGAAGGACTGTAAGTAGCGTGTGAGTGATTCTCGTAAAGCGCTGTATGATCCACACATCACGATTATTAGCATCACTGCCGGCACGTGTGAAAACCCACCCATTTTGCTGGCTTGCCACCAAGCGAAAGAACACCAGAAAACGGTTGTTTGGATCGAAGGTCTTTACCAAACAAGGCTGCACAGCTGTAAACTATAACTTGAATCTGTTTTCTTGGCATAATAGACCAACGGTCACCGTCCTCGGTAGTCTCTCCTAGATGTGGCTAACTATAACTCTTAATCCTCATCTCATCTCACTGGCAGGTAATACATAGACGCAGGTTGATGATCCATGGACAACGGCAAGCCCAAACTTCTGTACGAACTGAGAGGCTAGCGCTGCTTAGTACCTTCTTGCATCAGCATTCTCGGGCCAAGCTCCTTATTACAGATACATAATTTTCACGGTTCGAATACTGCCATGACCTCTTATTATGTTCGCCTTGTCTATGACGACCGTGACCTGGACATTGCGGCCTACTTTCTACAAATCTCGCGAACTTTGTGGAATCTTCTAGGGGACACTGTACAACGTTGCATGTGGGACCTAGCTCTCTGCCGCTTGTGGTTCTGGTTTCGGGAGTGGTGATCCTGTCGTTCGGGCGAACAACAGTAAGTTCCATACATTACTGTATTATGTCGCTCCTTACAATCGACATTGCAACTGACCAGACGACAGTCCTGGGTGTACACCAACGATGTTTAGGCTGATCTGTGTCGTATACCTATTGAGGCCTAGAAGGACGAAGCGGAGGCGTTGGCTGAGATTGCGAGAGGAATATGGGGTTCGGGGTCACAGGTGAGTTCATCTTTAGGAGATGGTATTAGCATGTCGATTAACTGCTGATCAAGATCATTTGCGATTTGTTCCTGAATCCTGAGGCACAATAAATTGGAGACGAGCTAACGTTCTAGGTACCTGCGGAATGAATCCGGACGACATGGATAATGAGCTAGCCAGGGTCATGCTAGAGATTCTACTCCCCACACCTACGCCGGCCAATATACCAACTCGCTTGTTCGGCTCGATAGTCAGTTCACGCCTCGGATTCGATGTTCATTGGTATACCACCTACATAACCAAACTCGTGCAACTCGCATGCAGAAACATGATACTTCGATGATGAAGTTTGTACCTCGCGCGATCGCCAGGATACCAAATGATTGGCGCTTGTCTCATGTAGATCCATCTGCCGACTATCTATCCTGGATTGTCTACCGCCCTGCTCGTACTTGTCACCAGAGACTTTAGACTTAGAAATTCCTTTGCAAACTTACCCCACGTACGAACACCAATTAACTGTGCCTCAAGATTCAGAAATAAATTGCAAATGATCACGTTCAACATTCTATCGACATACCAATATCATCTGCTAAAGATGAGCTCACCTGGCCCCGAACACCAATACTCCTCTTGCAATCTCAACCAACGCCTCCGATTCGTTATCCTAGATGCTAAATAAGCAAGCCTCGATAGGCATACAGCACGAATCTGCCCAAAAAGTCGTTAGTGTACACCCAGTCGTCTGTTCGGTCGTGGGGTCAATTGTAATGCGCAAACGATAGTATAGTAATGCGTGGAACTTGCTGTCGTCCGCCTAAAACACAGGATCACAACTCCAGAAACCAGAACCACAAGCAGCAGAGACCCAGATCCCAAATGCAACAGGCCACCACGCCTTTGTTTCCACGAGTGCTAGCCCGATGAGAGCGAAAATGTGAGGTTGCTGCTGCGGGTATGTGGACTTGGTGATATCTATGGAGCGTGAATGAGCAGGAGAAGAAACAAAAGAGCAAGATGAAAAACAACGGCGTGTGAGACAGAAGAAGCAAATTGACTTCACCGCACCCCTCCTGCACTGTGTACACATTCAAGAGAGAGATGCGCGGGGATTGGGGAGCCGTTCACGCTCGTAATATTATGTACATGTACGCATGCATTGACTTGGAACGCATGCGAGAAGGCGACTGAAGTTTGGGCTTGCCGTTGTCCATAGATGATCGGCCTGCGTCTACGTATTACCTGCCAGTGAGATGAGGTGAGGGCCAATGTATAAATAGTTAACCACTCACAGTTGGGAGAGACTACTGAGGATTACCGTTGGTCTATCATGCCAAGAAGCAACAGATTTGAGTTACAGTTTACAGCCGTGCAGCTTTCAGACTCACCTTGACTCTTCCGTTTTCTGCTTTTCGGATCAGAATTGTTCCATCAAAGGATCGCTTGGTCCCAGATGGGAGACCACGAGAGCGACTTCGCCCGGCTGCTGTGACCCATCCAAACGCCTTTCATCATCTTCCCGTCGATATTCCACCGCTGAACGCTTCCGTCCTCCCACCCGCACGCAACCACCTTCCCGTCCAGTGAAAACATCAGTCCGTATATCCTTCCACCCTCCTCCATGCTCTCTGTGTAGCTCAGAAGTGCACTGGAAGTGCTCGTGGTGGTGCTAGTATCAGTACCTACGATGTAATTCATATCTGTGCTTGCGGTTCTGGTCTCGCATGTGTTCGTTGTCCCGGTCTTGGATCTGTTGGTCCTCGTATTTGGCCCTAGGGCCTGCACTAGTTTGTGTCCCAGCGCTTGTTTGCGGCGGCAAAACGGACGGAAAAATAGTGTGCCGTCCCGAATAAATCAGTGCTTCGGCACTAGCGCCTACATGAGGCGATGTCGTTCTTCATGGAATAAGCTGCATGCTGTAGACGCATTGCACCAGCCACGCACCTTGACCACCATTGCTTCAGCAACTGGTAGATTTCTCGCACCATCCTATTTGGCGTCTCTAACTTGCGGCTAGGCATAACAGACGAGGAACTCAGTGGGAGAAGAATTGAGAATGAAGGATGCCAAACACTCCCCTGGATCACATCGAGAGCCTGTCAAGACGTTTCAGGGTCATGATGATAGCCTCTTTTCAATCGCAACTTTTCCGGATGGCAAGACAATAGCGACTGGGTCTGCCGACAAGACAATACGTGTATGGAGGCTTGAGGACGGCACAGAGATGATGAAGTGGGTGGCAAAGCAGTTGGTCGGCGCACTTGTACTTTTGGGAAACGGGAAACAGGTCATCAGTGCTGAGGGAGAAGACCCATTCCCAGGAGACGATTCCGATCAAAACGAAGAAACTTTTTCAAATAAAGTAGTGTGTTGGCAGTTATGGGTACGTGATGTTGAGAGTGGGAGCATCGTCGCAGGTCCCTTGAAAGGTCACACCAACTATGTGACTACTTTGGACATTTCCCCTGACGGCAAGATATTGGCCAGCGGGTCATTGGATCGCACAGTGATTTTATGCGACACGACCACCTGGCAGAGGAAAGGTCAGCCTCTTGCGTGCGGATCACCCATCTTTGACATCCGATTTTCTCCGACCGGTCAACTCGGCGTTGCTACCCCACAAGATATCCAAATATGGGACTTGGAACGAAGGAATCGTCTTGCTCAATTCAACGGCCACCGCGGCTTCAATAATGCAATCAACTTCTCGCTCACCTGGACTCATGATGGCACACATCTCTTATCAGCTGGTAGTGGCAGTGATCCTGTCATCCGCTGTTGGGACACATCCACCTGGGAACAGGCTGGTGATCCCTGGACTGGCCATGGCAAAAATAGACACATCCAACATATTGTCTTGAACCCAGCTGGCACCCTTCTTGCATCAGCATCTGGAGACCACACTGTCCGATTGTGGCAGTTCCCCACAGGCACAGAAGTCGCCCGATTTGAGCACTCAGATGAGGTGTATTATGTTGCATTTTCGGCGGATGGACGCTCCATATTCAGTGGCGGCCGCGACACGAAAATCTCGCAATGGGAGATACCTCAGGATGTGCTCGCAGCAGTAGAAAGTGTTTCTCTGTACTCACTCCCCACTGTGATCTCACTCCCTCGCATGCTCACACGCACTCATTCCAACGCTAAAACTCAGCCCAACTCCCCATCTTCATACCTTGACGTCAGTACTTTCACTTTGACCGCCTGTCTTCCTCGCTCACAGTGCTGTCGCAGGCTGATGCTACCGGGGGCGATGGCATCATCGAGGAGGGGAATGATAATCCATACAACAACTTCTTCCAGGTTAAACTCGTGTTTCTCATGCAACTACATACTGCTAACAACATGTAATTGTAGTCTTCGCATCAATCCCTTCCATCGGCATCCCCTGGCTCCCATCTCCCCCACCTATTGTCAGCTCGCCGCTTCTTCAAGGTCTTCTCTCGACCTCACCCACCGGCAGACGAGTCCGTTCCAAAAGAACGCTCGAAGCGCAAGCTCTTCGCTCGTCGTGCTCGCTCAAACTCATCCCTGGAGCTCGCAACCATGACAGGCGATCCACCAGTACTAGAAGGCAAAGTAGGAGAAGGCAAAGGCGAGCAAGGTGATAATGATGTAAGTGCCATTTTAGCTCTCCCACAATGTCACCTCAATACGACGGCTTTCAGCGCGGTTCCGCGAATGATCCGCTCGGCGCCAGAAAGGATAAAGGCAAACGGCGAGACGAACCCCCCACCGACGCACAGAACCCACCGCTTGATGATTCCAGTCACACCGACGACCTCGATAGCAAGGACAATCGAAAACTTTGGAAAAGGATGATGCATGCTCGAGGAAAGGACCCCTCCGACACCAACATTGCTCCAGCAATGAAACATCCCGAGGTCGTCGAGGTATATGCTGTGCGCGGGTTCCAGGTAAGCTTTAGTTAAATCTTCTGGACACTTTTATTCTTATGAGAGACGGCACTCGCAGAGATATGTCGCAATGAAGCGGGTACGCAAGATACAGCCATCAGCGGTGACGGGTGGTATTCCTCACTTAGGTGCCAGCTCGTCACAGCCGGGATCATCTTCGCAAGTAGTCTCTGTACAGGCAGGGCCATCATCGCACGCCGTTGTCGCCAATGGACCTCAATTTTTGCAAGTTACTGGGCGTCCATCATCGCATGTATCCCCATCGCACGTCGTAGCCGTCAATGCAGCTCAATATTCGCAAGCTACTGGAGGTTCATCATCGCACGCGTTCCCATCGCACTTCGTGACCAACCACCACACCAATCGCGACTCAGATTCACACACGACCATTGAAGGTTCCTTCAACAGGTTTCTGGTATGGATGTGTTATCCCTGTGGACGCTACAGCAATGATTATTAGTGTTGTGCGGGTTTTCTTGCTGTGTGTAGTACTAAGTTGTATCCTCCTTCGTTTTGGAAATTTGTTTTTCGCGTTGGCTATCAAACTCATGAATATTCTACCACACCAGTGATCATATTATTTTCTCTCGCATGTAGGTGATTTCGTAGCCACATTCTGTCCCATGGGTATTGGTTCAGCTATCCTCGTCATTACATGTACACGTGTTCTACTACGGAAACACTCAACGGGTGGCTTTGCTCAATACATTAACCTTCAGAAGCACAAAGCGGTTGTTCGGATCTCCTGGGTTTGGCAAACGAAGCTGCACAGTCCCCTTCCATCGCCGCCGCCGCCGTTTTCGATACTGCGATATGACCTTTTAGGACTTTCTCCTACTCCAGGTTCGCGTTCCGGGGGCGGATCCAGCTGTAGACCGCTACAGAGAAGCTCTAATTTGGCCCAGATGGTTCTCGTCTGCCATCGTTGCTTCACAATTTCACTTCATCTCTTATGACACGTTTCATACACTATTATCACCCCGAGGACCTGGAACGGGCATTAGATCTAGGTGCTTCAGCATTGGAACTACGTGAAAGAGGCAATGAGTGCAGAATGTCCTCTCTCATGGTGCTAGCGAATGTAATGCCAAGGGTCTCTAACATAAGCTCGAAGGTGATCTTCCATGCTCTAAGCTGCATTTCAGTATCTTGACGATTCATATGGTATGTGCGCGCCTGGCCACCCGTCCCTTGCCAACATCTGGGAAGGATACTCTCGTATCCATCTTCATGCCTACTCCAAGGCACTGCAATCTACATATCATTTGGAAGAAGCATTTCGATACTTAGACTTGCTTCAAACATATATCTAGGTGCTCGCTTCCAAAATTCTGCATTGCGTTACAACGGGCCAAAGAAGCGGAGGCACACAAGCACTCATCAGCACTGGATGCCCACCAGATTGCCTCGCGTCCCGACGAAGCCATCCCTGGAATCACGACATCGCAGTCTATGAAAACGCATCCTCTTTGGCTGCAGACGCCGCTTCGTGTACTCGTAGACGGGTTCAGTGACTTTCTTCTCACACCGAGATTTTCTAAGCTTGAGGAAGCTGCAAAGAATGGACCAATTATGACCACCAATGCGAGCTGGTACTCCTACGATGCAATACTCGTCCATCGTGAGCATGAACCAATTCGTATTCCCCTGAACGAAACCAACACATGTGATATCCTTCGATTTACCGATTTACTACGTCAAATGTGGGACGCTGTCGTCCTTCCTGTAGTGAAAAGACTAGAATCCTCTTTTCGAAGGTCGGCTGTGCTCGGGAGCACTTCTGATGTAGGGCCGAGACACAGTCCAGCACCAGATGAATATACCGGAAGCACAATGTAGTCACCTAGCGTGCCAAAATTCCCTTGCGCGCTTTGTGTGTCTCGTACCTGCATCTATGTCTCCTCGTGTATGCTATAGTAGCTCGTCATGACGCTGGTGAGGACCGCAAGGTGTTGTGTTATCTTCTGGGAGGCTCGGGTAAGAGAGGGACCGAGTTCGGAGTATATATGAACAGCAACATGGGCTCTGAAGCAAACGATAGCTAGACACACGAGACGCTATGTTACTGAATGGCCGTTGTGTTGCCTCGAGTATGCACCGAAGCGTAGTTCACGATACTAGAGTGATTGGAATTGGGTAAAGTGTATGATTGGGGATCGTAGTTTGTGAAGATCAAACCAGCCAAAAATAAAAATGCTGTATTGCGGCGTAAACCTGTGAATGGATGACTAGCGCCACCTCTTGGAATGGACGCCTTCCACCTACAGGATATAAAAACTCGCCTACCTTGCCAGCTTGCCCCAAAACAACAGACCAGCAGACCAACAAGTGAGTGCTGATCGACTTGTTCATCCCCATAATTGATCACCGACCGCAGGAGAGTCAGACTGTTCCACCAGATTACGGTAACGAGCTATGACTTCTGAATCCTCCGTAAAGCCCACCATCGGGGAAGCTTCGGCCCCAGAACAATCCAAAAGACCAACTCCAAAGCATACGTTTGAAGGACACAAGGACGTGATTCGTGATTTCGTCTTCTTGCACGACAATGTCCACATTGTGAGCGGTTCTGAGGACGGCACGATGCGGAAGTGGAACTGCAACACAGGACTTCTGGTCGGAGAGCCGTGGGAAGGGAAGGGTGGAAGGATATATGCACTGGCGCTTTCACCGGACGGGAAGATGATTGCGTGTGGGAGGGAGGATGGAAGCGTTCAGCAGTGGAATACCGGCGGTAAGATCATGAAAGGCAATTGGACGGGTCATAGCGACTGGGTGTGGTCGCTCTCATGGTCTTCCAACGGGGACCGTCTTGCAAGCGGATCCTATGATGGAACAATTCTGATTCGAGAAGCAAAAAATGGAAGAGTCGTGGTGGGCCCGATCAGAACGGCGCAGGTCTGTGTGTATGCTCTTGCATATTCACCTTCGGGCGACAGAATTGCATCTGGTGGGTACAACAATACAATTTGCATCTGGGACACGGAAACCGGCAAGCTCGTTGTCGGCCCTATCAAAGACCTGGGGACCTGGGTGACGTCATTGGTGTGGTCGTCGGACAGCACAAAACTTTACTCCGCATCCGACGAATTCGCACGTGTCTTTAACAGCAAATCAGGGAAACTACTCCATTCCATCAAGCACGATTCTTTTTTGAATTCTGTCGCACTTTCACCCAAACACAATGTTCTGGCGTGTGTGGGCAATAGCATTGCACAACTATGGGACACAGAGTCCCTTCAGCTACTCGGCCAGCTATTCAACCAGGGTAACACACTTCACTATGTGTCTTTCTCTCCAGACGGGCACCATCTAGCATATGGCGGAAATGACAAAAATCTCACTCTCTGGTCCGTTAAAGACATACCTCCTCCGCTTATAGAGTCCATACTCCCCCAACAAAGTGACAAACGAAGCACACAGCAGGAAACCCGGTCCGACTCCCCATCATCATCATACCTCGACGTTAGTACTTTCACGTTTGACCGCTCGTCTTCCTTGCTCACAGTGCTGTTGCAGGCTGATGCTACTGGCGGTGATGGCATCATCGAGGAGAGGTGCGATGATCCATACAACAACTTCTTTCAGGTAAATTTGTGTTTCTCATGCAACTACACAGTACTGACAACATGTAATTTTAGTCTTCGCGTCAATCTCTTCCATCAACATCCCCTAGCTCCCATCTTCCCCACCTGTTCTCAGCTCGCCGCTTCTTCAAGGTCTTCTCTCGCCCTCACCCACCGACAGACCAGTGTGTTCCAAAAGAACGCTCCAAGCGCAAGTTCTTCACTCGTCGTGCTCGCTCACACTCATCCCTGGAGCTCGCAACCACAAAACCCAACAAACCAGTACCAGAAGGGAAAGTGGGAGAAGGAAAAGGCAAGCAAGGTGACGATGATGTAAGTGCCGTTTCGGCTCTTTCACAATGTGAACTCAACACAATGGCTTTCAGCGCGGTTCAGCGAATGATCCGCTAGGCGCCAGAAAGGATAAAGGCAGACGGCGAGACGAACCCCCCACCGACACGCAGAGCCCACCGTCTGATGATTCCAGTCACACCGACGACCTCGATGGTAAAGACAATCGCAACCTCTGGGAATGGTTCATGCAGGCTCGAGGAAAAAATATCATATTCACTTCCCTGGATTTCAGCGCTCGACCTACAAATGCACCTCAACCAACACCCCGGCGGCCTTGGCAATGGAATTCCAACTCATTTCCTGTAGGACCTTCCAGACGTCCCGTCGATGTGGCTGCTTGCCGCGACGAAGATGTGAGTAGCTTGTTATTGCTCCTCTTTCATATGATTGAAATCATCGTGCAGAGATATGGCATTGTCCCAGAATCTGACGCGGAAGCAGCTGCAGCCATGCTACGTACAAGCGGCAATGAGGTCGACAGCCCAATGCGACCAGGTCAGCTTGCAGTGGGGGCACAAGTGTCTCACGGACGGCCCATACGAACACAAGCCTTGACTAGCGGGCCAGAGGGTGGCGTCTATGAAGGAGTAAGCTGCTGCGGATTGTTCTTTGGTTATCGTCCGAGTCGTTCCAATTCGCTTCAGCCATGATATCATTTGGTGAGACACTCTTGTCAATCAACTTTTGTTTGCATAGTAGATGGACCATCTCATGCCCAGCTCTGCGCCGTCCTATATACATAAGCAGTATTATATTTGCATAGCTGACCACATGCTATAATCTTATATCGGAAGAGCCGTGTTCCGAAACTCAAATGGCTGGCATGCATGTTGCCCTGTGAATGAATGACGATTAGCACTGTGTCGTGGAATCCACCCATGCCAACGTTTGAACCCCGATTGTGTGTTTCAAATTGTAAATATCATCCCAGCCGAAATGCTGTATTGCGGCATGAACCTGGGAATGGACTACTTAGTAGCGCATCGTTATGCCACCTGTGACCTGCAGGATATAAAAACTCGCTTACCTTGCCAACCTGCCCCTAAATAACAGACCAGTAGACCAAGTAGTGAGTGATGATGATCGACTTGTCCATGACCATAGTTGATCATCAACTGTGGCAGAGTCAGATTGATCCACCAGATTGCGCTAGAGGGCTATGACTTCTGAATTTTCAACCCCAGCTTAAGCCAAAGGACCAATTCGGTGAAAATCTGCCTCCTCTTTAGTGACTTTCGGACATCGATCTAGGTCAATGCCTCGGTGACCTTGTGCGGTCACTTCATGAAGAAGAAGTCGACGCACTAATTCATAAAATTGGGAATCCGCGTGATCATTCCAGAAGGGAGTCTTGATCAAACGTCGGATTGGCGTGCATGGGTGCGCGATGCAATGGGAAGGTCGTCAGAGCTCCTTTGGATGATCACACCAGTGTAGCGATCACTTCATACATTCCTCCCGGCGGCAAGATGCTAGCCATCAGGTCATGGGACTCGTATTTGGCTAGGGCCTGCACTGGCGCTTGTACTAGCGTCTGGACATGGAGACGCCGGTGGTGACTTGCTGAGTGCAACTCGAAGTGTTGGAGAAAATCAGAGAGAATCACCAGCCTCCAGTGGCTTTTGTAGAAGAGAGCAATAATGACATTACTGAGACGCTAGTCGTAGGCGGTTGGTCCTGTCATCGATGCTAATGCATGACACAAAGGAACGAAAGTTGTCAATAGAATGAAGACATCGCTCTTACGCAAACAGATAAAGTACTCACTTTCAAACGACGATCTTCATGCATGTAGTGTACACCAAGGAATTTAACAGGAAAGTTTGTCTCATGCTGAAAAGCGTGTAGAGGGGTGAGTGACCTATAAAAGACTGTTCAAAGTCGTAGGAACTGAAAATCGGAAGTGGGTTCATGGGGGATAGAATAACGGATTCTGTGGATTGTATGCCATGCAAAGCGGGGCACGACGGATGAAGGATATGATGAGTGGTTCGTGTCCCAGCGCTTATTTGCGACGGCAAAACGGACCGAAAATATAGTGTGCCGTCCCGGCTGAAGCAGTGCTTTGGCACAATGATTCCGGACCCAAGCGCCTACATGAGGCGATATCGTTCTTCATGGAATAAGCTGCATGCTGTAGACGCATTGCACCAGCCACGCACCTTGACCAAAACCATTGCTTCAGCAATAGGTAGATGTCTCGCACTGTCCTCTTTGCCGTCTCTGACTTCCCGCTAGGTATAATAGATGAGGAACTCAGAGGCCTCGGGAGAACAACGGAGGATAAAGGATGCCAAACAGCTACCTGGATCGCATCGAGAGCCTGTCAAGACGTTTCAGGGTCATGATGGGAACATCACCTCAATCGCAACTTTTCCGGATGGCAAGAGAATAGCGACTGGGTCTACCGACAAGACGATACGCATATGGAGGCTTGAGGACGGCACAGAGATGATGAAGTGGGTGGTGAAGCAGATGCTCGGCCCATGTGTAGTTTTGGGAAACGGGAAACAGGTTGTAAGTGCTGAGGGAGAGAACCCAGCAAGCGATCCTAAAAAAGGTATTCAAGAAGAAGATTTGGATAAAGTGGCGTATTGGCAGTTATGGGTACGTGATGTTGAGAGTGGGAGCATCGTCGCAGGTCCCTTGGAAGGTCACACCAACATGGTGGTTACTTTGGACATTTCCCCTGACGGCGAGATATTGGCCAGCGGGTCGATCGATGGCACAGTAATTTTATGGGACACGACCACCTGGCAGAGGAAAGGTCACCCTCTTGCGTGTGGATCACTCATCACTTGCATCCGATTTTCTCCGACCGGTCAACTCGGCGTTGCTGCCAACAAAGATATCCAAATATGGGACTTGGAACGAAGGAAGCGTCTTGCTCAATTCGACGGCCACCGCGGCTTTAATGCATTGAACTACTCGATCACCTGGACTCGTGATGACGCACATCTCTTCTCAGCTGGTGGTCGCAATGATTCTGTCATCCGCTGTTGGAACACATCCACCTGCAAGCAAGCTGGTGATCCTTGGATTGGCCATGACGAAAATAAAGACATCTACCATATTGTCTTTTTTTTTTTTTTTTTTTTTTTTAAATCAAATTTATTGTCCTTTGGGGTCGAAGACCCTATGTTGGACATAACCCTGTTCGAGTGCGGGGGGTTTACTCCCGACTGATCTATCGTAGTTTATATGTATTCTTTCGCGTGGTGAGGGCTAACGCGTACTCTGTCGGCATGATGTCGGGCAAAGGCCGACGCCGATTTTGTACGAGGGGAATGGCAGTGGTGTGAGGCATGGTTAGGGAGGGTTGTGTGGTGTTAGGTATGGGATGCGGGGTACTGTTTAGGGTTTGTTATCTGGTTTTTGCGATGCGGCTTTGTCGTTATTCATTCTTCTTCTCATCCTTCCTTCTATCCTCTTTTCCTACAGCGACCTTCGTCCAGCGAACGTCCTTCCCTTCGTTACTTCATGAGTTGGTGGTGGTACATTTGAGTGGTTTGGGTATGAGTAGATGTACAGATGTATTTGCTTGCTTGATTGATGTGATGCGGTTTCGAGTGATGATGATTTGAGGGTATGATATCTGTTTGAATGCTTGTGCGTGAAATGATACTCGTTAACTAGTCGTGATCTCACCGAACGTGGTCTTGAAGCGTCCTGTGCTGTTTATGAACCTCATAAGGGGCGTGGTGGCCTTATCTGACGTGAGGATATATTCGATGGATGAGGCTTTGCGTCTGAGAGCGTTGGAGAAGATGTGTCGTTCGCGGGCGTACTGCGGACAGTCGAAGAGGTAATGAAATATTGTTTCGTCCATCCCCGGGCATATGGGACAATGCGGTGAGTCGACTTTACCGATACGAAAAAGGTGGTGGTTCAGAGGGATGTGACGTGTTCGAAGCTGGGTGTAGATGCTGGTTTGGCGTCTGGGGAGCGATGAGATGAGTTTGAGATAGCGATTTGACGGCATGCTGGGGTCGATGATCTTTGCTCTTGCGTAGCGAGGTGAGTTTTCCCATTCTTTACTCCATCGTTTGTTCAGGGCGTCTTGATGCCATTGTTTCAGCGCCGACACGCTATCCGGTAGCGGTTTGTCTTGGAGATATAATGGGAGTCTGTTTCTCGTGCTACTCTCTCCTCCTGCTGCTTCCTTCGCCGCTATGTCCGCCAACTCATTTCCTGTGACCCCTTTATGTCCTGGGATCCACCTGACGGTGAGAGCGAAGTTGCTTCCTTGTCCTCGTTGTTTCTTTGCTAACATGCGCGTCATGCCTCGGAAGTGTTCTACCAGGTAACTTCCCGGTTTTGTGTTATGGCTTTCTCCCGATAGTATGGCTGCCCTGTTGTCGATGAAAATAGAGGCGGGGTAGGTGGCGTTAGGTTCTGTGGCTAGGAGTTTGGCTGCGAGGGTCAATCCAACGACCTCGGCCTCGTATACGGTATGAGTTTTGTCTGGCCCGAGATAGTACTTGATGGTGCGTGGTCTTTGTCCGTTTCGTAGGAGCGTTGCTGCGGCACCTATACCGCCATTGTATCCTGAGCCGTCTGAAAAGATCTGAATGTCGTCCGTTAGCTCGGTTTGCTCTTTGATGGCGTCCTTCTCCTTGATCGTTATATGGGTGTTGTAACTGTTTCGATGTTGTGCGTTGGAGCGGCGGATGGGGTCTATGGTTTCGACGTTATCTGGAAGAATATGGTAAGTAGCTATCAAATTGTGAAGAGATGACCTGTGTCGTTTGATACTATAATGCTTAGCTATGTGTTTCAGATGCGAATGAAGGGGGTGTCGTTGAGGGAGCGTAGCTAGTCGAAGTGCCGCTCGATGGCAGATTTTCTGAAGGAGGAGAGCGGTGGGTAGAAGGTTTGAGTGAGCGTCTAGAATGTCAGTAGCGGTAGTTCTCATTGCCCCGGTGATACTTAGTGTAGCTATCCGTTGTACTCTTGCTAGCCGTTCGGCTGTACCAATGGATCCGCGTTGTTCACTTGTCGAGTTTTCAGTATAGATGGGTCTGAACCATAAGTCCGCCCCATATGAGAATTTCGGTACTGCTACTGTGAGGTATAGTTGGCGCATGAGCTTTGCGGATATTCCATTCGTGGGTCTTGATAAACGGCGAATCTGTAGAACATACTCTGTACCTTTGGCGATAGCGTGATTCACGTGGTGCTTCCATGTTAATTCTTGATCGACGATGAGACCCAGAAAGCGGTGGTGTTCGGTTGGCGTAATGGTGGTGGACTGGATGGTTAGAGGAGGGCGGTGTCGAGATTTGCTACGGGTGAAATCTATGAGTGCGAACTTGTTAACTTCAAAGCGTGAGTTATGATCTCTTGACCACTGTATAGCGCCGTTCGGCCTTTCCATCATATTTTTGAGGGTTTCATGGGTTTCTTCAAATGTCGATCCGATCGCGATGTAGGCTGTGTCATCAACGAATGCTAGCGCTGATTCCTTGTTTTTCGGGTTGGCTACGTCTAAGAGGTCAGCGTTATAAATCAGGTAAGCTATCATTGAGAGAGGGTCTCCTTGGCCGATGCCGTTTCGTATGGTGATCCAATCGGAAGTTGCGTCGTTGAATTTGAGTTGAGTTTTCCGATCCGTTAACATGCGCTCCGTGAACGTGGCGATTTCGACGGGGAGTTTGCGTTTGCGCATGTTGTGGACTAGCCGGTCCGTGACGGCGTTTGGGAACGCCCCTTCAATGTCAAGAAATAGGATAGAGGCTACTTTACCGTTGCGCCACGCGTTCTTGACTGAGGTTTCGAGAATGTGGAGGGAGTCTGTGGTGGTCCTGCCTGGGCGTCCGCCAAAGTGATTGTCGGGGAGTAGGTTGTGTTTCTCCATAATATACGTTACTTGTTCTGCTATAATGGCTGTTAGTACTTTGCATGTAGTGTTAATAAGCGCGATCGGGCGATACGCTTTGGGGAGCGTATAGTCTGGCTTTCCCGGTTTTCTCAAAACTACCGTTGTGAATTCCTTCCATCCAGTGGGGTAGGTGTTGAGCGTGAAGACCGCGTTAAATAGCTGTAATAGATATGGGATGATGATTTCGGCGGTTTGCTTGAGGACCACGTTGCAGACTCCATCGGGGCCCGGAGCCTTGTAGGAGCTGGTGTTAGCTATCGCTTTGGCTATGTGATTTGCTGTGATGGCGGTGAACGGCATGGCTGGGTCTGGATAGTCGAAGTCGATGGGTACTGAGCTGCTCGCCGGTGGGGGTGGGAAGAAGGTGGCCGCTAACGTCTTGCTCTTGTCCTCGTTAGATATTGCTTCCGTTGGTTGTCCGTCCTCGCTCTTGGTTTTGAGGGATGGGATGCTGGTCCTTCCGCCGTCTCCCATTGGGGAGGTCATGTATTTGCTTGCCGTATATACGCTTTGTTGATCCAGTTCTTCGAGGTAGTCGATCCAGTGTTCCTGCTTCGTCTTGCGGATTTCTTCTGTCACGTGGTTGCGGAATTTCCTGTGTTCTTCATGGACGGGGTGATCAGCCAATCCTCTCATCTTGTAAGACATATCACTTAGCTCGTCTTTCTTGGCTATGAGCGCTGTTAACTCTTTTGTCCACCAGCGTTTGGCGTGTGGGCTGGGTTTCGACTTAGGTACCTTTTCCTCGATCGTTAGTTTGAGCGCTGTGCTGAGGTTGGTTGCGGCTTCTTGGAATTGGACCTCGGTGGTGAGAACTTGGGGATCGGGGTAGTTGGCTAGATTGCGGATTAAGCAGCCTCTGAAGGTGTCCCAGTCCACGTCGCGGAAGTTGAAGGAGGTAGAGGTTGAGGAGCGGGGGATCTTGAGGTCTAGGGTACTTAATATTGGGACATGGTCAGTACAGGGCGGCCTTCGACGTGGTGCGGTGTTGCACGTCGAGAATGAATCTAATGTATGTGCAGTGCAGAAAACATTATCAGGGCGGGTCCAATTTCCACTACTCGTGGATTGGAGAGTAGGTTTGTCTTTCGGTAACGCCATCATCAGGTTGTTGTCGGCGAGGAGTTCGATTAGATGTTGTGATGTTTCTACCGCTTCGCGTGGGGTGTATAGGTGGGCATTCCTGTCCTCCTCCCAGAGGGGGTGGTGGGCGTTGAAATCCCCTAGGAGAATGATATGGTCATTGGCTGTGGGGCGGATGGTGCGCGCTTCGTTCTCCAGGTATGTTGCGATTGCTGGTATGACTACTCTGATCTTGCTGTCGTCGTAGACGTTGATGATGGTGATTTTCCCGTAAGTTCCGCTTAGCTGAATGATTACGACGTCCTCTGATGGAAAGGGGAGTTGGCGCCAGTTGTTCGTATTGATGCGTTTGTTGATTAGTGTAATTGCTCTTGATCTTCCTTGGTGCGTATATCGGTGTGTGGGATAGACCACGTTCCAGTCGGGAGTGGCTCTGGTATTACCTAGAGAATCAGTACACGGTTCTTGGATTGCTACAATGTCGAAGTCTTTGGCTGTAAATGGGCCGCTAAGGATACAATGTTGGGCGGTGTTTGATTTGTTGAGATTCTCCTGCCAGATGCGTAGCTTGACATCGTGGTCGATGGGTGTATTATTCATATTGAGTGATGGGGGAGCTGGATCCTATCGATTGGGCGGGTTGAGTCATGGAGCGACGTCGGGGGGCTGATAGTCCTCGATTTGGTGGGAGGTAGCATCCTCTGCCCGATCTGACTCCCCTGGGTGCGAGGTGTCTTTCGAGGGTGTCTTGAGTTGGGAGGTGTTGCTGTTGTTGATGTTGATGAGTTGGGGTCGGAGTGCGTTCTTTGATGAATGGTTTTGCTTTAGGTGGGATCTGTACTTGGGTCCACGTGTCCTCTGTTGGGTAGTACGGCATTGTATTTTCTGGATATCTGTTATCGATGTCAGTACACTTCCTTTCGAATGTTGGGCATTTTCTGTCCCAGTTTGCGTGGTCTTCGGTTTCGCAGGATATACAGCTTTGACTATTTTTATTGTTGCATTCATTCGATCTGTGTGGTCCTGAACAGTTAGCGCAGACATCGATGTGAGAGATACATTCCTTTGCTATATGTCCGTATCGTTGACATTTTGCGCATCTGATAGGTTCGCGTCGGTTTTTCTTCATTTGGAGTCTTGCTTGGTTCAAAATGATGCCGTCTCGGATTCCTTGGTTGGCTGTGGCTGGGTTGTTGAAAGATGCGATGACGTGTGCTACTCGCTGATTGCTAGCTCGTTTTCCCGGTGGTTTGATCCATCTGGCAGAAACTAATTCTCCTTTGTTCCAGTTGTTTTCGTTTTCAAGTTCACGAAGGTGCTCAGGGTCGCTGGGATTAAAGGTTAGTGGTACGAATTGGATGATTACTGGGTAAGTTCTGTCTTTGATCATAGCTGATGGGTCGAGGATCTTGATGAATTCGTCTTTGATGTCCGGTTTCTTGATGTATGTTGCGCCTTCGATTGTTAACATTTCTAGGACGGTTCCTCCATTACGGTATTGGGTTACTGTTCGAATAGTTAGTTCCGGGGCCCCTTCTTTGCTAATTGTCTTCAATGCTTCTTTTATTTTCTCTACGAGTTGACTGTGTGATAGTTTGCCAGGACCTAGTGGGCTATTAGGAGGGAGACTGATCAGTATCTGACGGGCCTTGATCGCTTCACGTGCTGTTCTTTGAATGGTTTGTGCATCGGGACGGTTGTCCTCGAGTCCTGACAGTAATGCCATTTTGTAGCTTCCTTGTTGTTGGGACGCTTCCTTGACTTGAGTTGTGAGGGTAGTGACCGCTTCTTGAACGTTGGCTAGACGGGAGTCGAATGCAGCTGTGCCTATGAAAGCGTCCACGTTGTTGCCGCTGATGGAAGTGATGGATTCGTTGATCTTCTCTTGGGAACCTTCCATTTTTGATGCGGTGTTTGTCATAGCTTCCGATACTTCTTGGATATTTGCGATGTGAGGAGCGATGGCTGTGATTACCAGTTTAGCCACTGAATTGGCCATTACAACTTCTGCCGCTTCTTCTAATATGAATGCTATCGCCCTTATGGCCGTTTGGACTGGAAGTGTTACCCCTGGCATTTGAGTGATGTGGAAGAGGATGTCTGAAATATTGTCAAAGGTGTACGGTTTGCCCAGTATGGCCATTGCCGTCTTTTCTAGATGAGCTTTAGCACTTACCGCGTCCGATACTTCATTCTTGGTCGCTATTATCTCGTGGGTTCCCAATCTTGAAGATGATCTGGTGTTAGCTGTACTGGGTCTAAATGTTCCAGTCGGAGGTGGTGGCATTGTGTTTTTCACTGGTTTTCTACGTTTTCCTTGGACTAATTATGTTTGGACTAGAGTATTTATGTTTTTAAAGCAGAGGTTTATGAGGGTAGCAAGTATATTGGGGGCCGTAGCCTCCGTTGACGCCGTTGAGCTCAGTGTTTGACTTTTCGGGGTCCGGGGTCTTGCAAGGGTGCCACTTGGTTTAGGACCAAGAAGCGATTCACCATATTGTCTTGAACCCAACGGGCACCCTTCTTGCATCAGCATCTGAAGACCTCACTGTTCGATTGTGGCAGTTCCCCAGAGGCACAGAAGTCGCCCGATTTGAGCACTCAGATGACGTGTTTCGTGTTGCGTTCTCGGTGGATGGACGCTCCATATTCAGTGGCGGCGTGGACAAGAAAATATCGCAATGGGATATTCCTGAGGATGTGCTCGCTGCAGCAGAAATTATTTCTCTGGCCAGCGCGAAGAACGAGGTGACTACTCCCCACTGTGATCCCACTCCCTCGCATGCTCACACGCACTCATTCCAAGGCTGGTCGTACCAAAAACAAGGTGTGTTTTCTAACACTGCATATGATATACATCCTGACTCTCGATCAGATGAAAGGACCGCAAAATGTACGTCGTTTGGACCCCATTCGATGGTCCCCACTTCAATAGTTTTTGATTTACTTCTCAGTCGTATATTCATGGCCAGCGCCGAAATCGGCCAGTGAACTACCAGCACACCACTTCCTCTGCATCGCCACTCGCTCATGCGGAACGCCCGTCACCTTCTCGTTCGCTCGATGTCAGGACCTTTTTCAATGGCATTCGGCCGTCATTCCACAAGAAGGGGAAGCAAAAGGAGTATCAGTCGAAGCAAAAGAGTCCGCAAGTCGTCAATGTTCCTCTTGGACAAGTCACATATGTTTGTTTTCTGCAATTCTACTCGTTTCATTGAGATCTTACCCCATCCTTCACTAGGGTGATGTTGTTGGTGTGGACGACGGAAACCGACCATACGTGCTCTTCTTTTGCCTTTCTTGGTTCCAGAAAACGAAGAAGACACCGGTTCCACAGCCAGTCTATGATGACGACCCTTCGGATAATGAATCTGATCATTCTGTTGCCAACGTTCCCATACCTACTACCAGGTAACACCAGGTGATTCACTTGTCAAATGGCTTCACTGATGTACTACTGTAGGACCCAATTCACCGCCCCCCAAAAAGTCAAATTGAACCCAGTGGCTTTTTTTCAGTCACAGCCTGAAGCAGGACCATCTCGCCTCGCACCGCCAGTTGACAATGAAGAGGTAGAGACTGTGAATGTCTCGATGCCTACCCCCAGGTATTAAAATTACATTCATTTGTTCTGCGGATGACCTGATGCGGTGTCGTAGGATCCAAATGCCCCAGCGTGAAGACATCGAATTGAAACCAATGGCTAGTCAGTCCCAGCCAGAGGCAGGACCATCTCGTCTTGCGGCACCTGAAGAACACCCGGGAGCACAGTCTTCATAGTTTGAATCTTTCCATCGTACTTGCCGTATCACACCATGCTTTGGTCTTGCGAATGACGACACTGATATTGATCTTTACTTTCTACGCATTATTATCTCACATGTACAGCATTTCTCTCCAATCCAGTTGATTGCTCTTGGTCTGTACCCAGCTTCGAGAGAAACACTTCAAATGGCCGTTTGATCTCCCACATGGTCTACATCGTCCTACGTCAGTTTGATATTCTTTCACCACCGAGGGAACTGCTGTGATCAGTAGCGGGAGATGTAGCCCGACCTTTACAGTTGCTATTGTTGGAAGGCTCAGGTAGAGTCGCGACGGCTGGGTGCTAGCGAGATGATCGACTTCCGCGGTGAAAGCCCTCAGTAATGCTCAAGCATTATCGACAATGTACGAAAGCCAGTGGTTGTACCAAGACAGCTAAGGCTGGTATCGATGAGTGTCCAACTGGAAGGTCGTGAGGAGGTTGGAGACCCGAGTCCCTCCAATGGTAGAATATGCACGCTGAAGTTTCTGAGTCCACTGGGGAGGAAGCATGCACCGATCAATGCCTCGTCAGAGATGTGGTATCGAGCACCCTGGAATCAGATGTTGGTGGACCAGATAATGTGAATTGAATAGCAGGACTCACTATCGTGTGGGCAAATGGGACCATCAAAATTGTTGAACAAGTTAGTCTGGGAGATGACGTGATAATCTCAACATACGGTACATACCATACTCCGTATGATGTATTGCTGATGTCTGAGGACGAGACTTCAGGCAGTGCGAAGCTTTAAATGATGGAGAGACGGTCGGAGCGCGGAGTACCTAGAGCAACAACGTGAGCGCTGAAGCAACTATATATAGACGCTAAAACTGTGTTACTTAATGGGCCAGCCGAAATGCTGTATTGAACCTGTGAATGGATGACGATTAGCGCTGTGTCGTGGAATCCACCCATGCCAACGTTTGAACCCCGATCGTGGTTTTCAAATTGTAAATATCATCCGAGCCGAAATGCTGTATTGCGGCATGAACCTGGGGATGGACTATTAGCGCCTCGTCGAATCCATCTATGTCACCTACGGGATATAAAAACTCGCTTACCTTGCCAACCTGCCCCTAAATAACAGACCAGTAGACCAAGCAGTGAGTGATGATGATCGACTTGTCCATGACCACAGTTGATCATCAACTGTGGCAGAGTCAGATTGATCCGCCAGATTGCGCTAGAGGGCTATGGCTTCTGGGTCTTCAACCCCAGCGCAAGTCAAAGGACCAATTCCAAAGTACAAGTTTGAAGGACACGAAAATACGATTTGGGATTTCGTCTTCTTGCACGACAACGTCCACATTGTGAGCAGTTCTGAGGACGGCACGCTTCGGAAGTGGAACTGCGATACAGGACTTATCGTTGGAGAACCATGGGAAGGGAAGGGCGGGAGGATATATGCACTGGCGCTTTCACCGGACGGGAAGACGATTGCGTGTGGGAGAGAGGATGGAAGTGTTCAGCGGTGGAATACCGACGGGGAGATGATCGGAGGTGTTTTGACGGGTCATAGCGACTCGGTGATGTCACTATCGTGGTCTCCTAGCGGGGACGATATTGCAAGCGGGTCCAGCGATGGAACAGTTCTGATTCGAAAAGCAAAAAACGGCGTCGTGGTGGGCCGGATCAGGACAGATCTAGAGCAAGGCGGGGTGTATGCTCTTGCATATTCACTTTCGGGCGACAGAATTGCATCGGGCGGGAACAAAGCGATTTGCATTTGGAACACGAAGACCGGCGAGCTCGTTATCGGCGCCATCGAAGGCCTCCAGAAATATGTGACGTCGCTGGTGTGGTCGTTGGACAGCACAAAACTTTACTCCGCATCCGACAATTTCGCACGTGTTTTCGACAGCAAATCAGGGAAACGACTTCTTTCCCACCAGCACGATAGTCCTCTGTATTCCGTCGCACTTTCACCCAAACACAATATTCTGGCGTGCGTGGGCATTGATGGTATTGCCAAACTATGGGACACAGAGTCCCTTCGGCCACTTGGTCAGCCGTTCGGCCAGGATCGCCAAAGGCTTTGCCATGTGTCATTTTCTCCAGATGGGAGATACTTGGCATATAGCGGAGGGAACAACAAACTCACTCTCTGGTCTGTCAAAGACATAGCTCCTCAGCTTGTAGCACCAATACTCCCTCAGCAAAGTGACAGACGAAGCACACAGCAGGAAACTCGGCCTAACTCCCCATCATCATTGTGCCTTGATGTCAGTACTTTCTCGTTTGACCGCCTGTCTTCCTTGCTCACAGTGCTGATGCAGGCTGATGCTACTGGGGGTGATAACATCATTGAGGAGGGGAACGATGATCCATACAACAACTTCTTTCCGGTAAAACTCATGTTTCTCGTGCAACTACATAGTACTGACAACTTGTAATTGTAGTCTTCATGTCAATCTCTTCCATCGGAAGCGCCTGGCTCCCATATCCCCCATCTGTTTTCGGTTCGCCGCCTCTTGAAGGTCTTCTCTCGACATCACCCACCGACAGACGAGTCCGTTCCACAAGAAGCATCCAAGCGTAGTTTCTTCGCTCGTCGCGCTCGCTCAAACTCGCCACCGAAGCCTGCAACCATGAAAGCTAACCAACCAGTACCGGAAGGGAAAGTGGGCGAAGGAAAAGGCGAACAAGGTGACAGTAATGTAAGTGCCTTGTCGGCTCTCCCGCGATATAACCTCAACACTACGGCTTTCAGCGCGGTTCCACGAATGATCCGCTCGCCGCTATAGAAGAGAAACGCGAACAGCAAGACAAGCCTCCCACGGACGCACAGAGCGCACCATCTGATGATCCCACTCACCCAGGCGACCTCGATAGGAAAGACGATCGAACCTTCTGGAAAAGGATAATGCGTGCTCGAGGCAAAGACCCTTCCGACGCCAACATTGCTCCAGCAATGAAACGTCCCAAAGTCGTTAAGGTATCTGCTGTGCGCGGGTTCCAGGTAAGATTCAGTTTGATCTTCTGGACACTTGTATTCTTACCAGTGATGGAACTCGCAGGGATATGTCGCAATGAAGCGGGTACACAAAACAAAGCCATTGGTGCCCTCAGATGCCAACTCGTCACACCTCGCATCATCGTCGCAAGGAGTCTCTGTACATGCAGGGCCATCCTCGCACGCTGTGGTCGCCAATGGAGCTCAAATTTCGCAAGCTACTGGGGGTTCATCATCGCACGCCGTAGCCGTCAACGCAGCTCAATCTTCACAAGTCATTGGAGGTCCATCATCGCACGCGTCCCCATCGCACTTTGTGACCAATTACCACACCCATCACGACTCAGATTCACACTCGAGCATCGAAGGCTCCTGCAACAGGTTTCTTTATAGGATATGTTTTCCCTTTGGACGCTACCGCAATGATTCTTAATGTTGGCTTGGTTTTATTGCCGTGCGTAGCTTAGGTTGTATCCTTCCTTCGTTTCGAATCTTTTTTCGAGTTGGCTATCAAACTCATTCTGCTACACCAGTAATGACGTTATTTTCTCTTGCATGTGTTTAGCTGACTTCATAAATACATTCTGTCCCATGTGCATCGGTTCTATCCTCAGCATTACATGTTCACGCGTTCTACTCGCCTCTCCACTTTGTCGCAATATATCAACCTTCGGAATCGCAAAGCGGTTGTTTGGATCTGAAGGATTTGCCAAACAATGCTGCACAGCCCCCCTTCTAACCTCATACACTTGTCATATACAGGACTTTCTCCCTCTTGTATGTATACGGGCATCGGTGCAAATTGCAAATGTCGATGTCAGAAGCTCGTCTCCTCGTGCACATCTCTCTTTGACGCATGTCATGAGTTCTTACCATCCAACGTCTTTTGTGCCCTACTAGTTTGATTGTCACTGACTCATAGCAGCAGTGACTTGGCGTTCTAGCTCTATTATCCGCCCCAATGCTCAGTCATGCAGGTCAGCCATCTTATGCAGCGTATCTATACTTGACGCCCTAGGCCGCAACGCCATCGTGGTTGTAAATCTTTCAGCGATCATTGGTTGTATTGTGAAGATTTGGCAGGAGCTATTCTGCTTCACGTATAGAGTTAGTCATATGCTTAGTGCGTAGCCAAATCTTGCTAATCTCGCAGGTGCAATGATAATCCGCTACGAACTCTCCCTCGCAGACATTGAAATCTCCATGTGATACATCCGCGAAGCGCTAGAAATCTGCCCCAGAAACCATCCAGATCGCTCCCCGTTACTCAATAACTTTACAACTACCCCTCCGCAAGCGCTTTGAACTCACCAGCGAAAATTGCTATGAAGCTCTGCATCTTTTGCCGCAGTCTCACCCCCGTCGCTCTGACATACTATTCTTGCTTGGGAACGACCTCCGGTCCAGGTTCGCGTTTCAGGGGGATCCTGATGATCTTCATCCAGCTGTAGACCGCTACAGCGAAGCTCTACGCCTGTGACCACCATCCCATCCAGAATGCGCCGATTTATTGCAACGTCACTGGCACACTCTTTAAGGAACGGGGAAACCCCCACGATCTCGATATTTGCATAAAGTGCTACGCTGGAGCGCTCCAGTGTAGCCCAGAAGGGTATCGTCGGCCTCGGTTGCTTCACAATGTCGCTTCATCTCTGACGATGCGTTTCATACACTATAATCCCCCCGAGGACCTGGACTGGGCATTGGAGCTACGTGGAAGAGGTAGTGAATATAAATTGTCCTCTCGTGGCGCCAGCAAATGCAAAGGGTCCCCGATCCGTCATTGCAATCCAGCATCTTGACGATGCATATGTATGTGCGCTCCTGGCCACCCGTCCCTTGTCGACATTTGGGAAGGATGCCCACCAGATTTCCTTGAGCATATTTGACCATCACGTCACGATGAAACTGCCTCCTCAAAACGATGTATATAACCAACGCGAGATTGCAAGGGCCCATTGTCGTGATGTGCCAAAGGTAGATAACTTCAATCACATGACACACTTGTACTTTGTGTTCTTCAAGAGCTGAGCGCAGAGCATCGACTCGAGTCAGCAGGTCGGTCTAAATGTAGGTTAGATGGAACGGAACATTGTTAGTGTGACATGACTAGCTTATTTGTTTGCGCCAATTGCAGTGTTGAACGTTATGCCTGCGGAAATCTGGCCATCAGTATAACAATTAGATGCTTGAAGTTCCAGAACTCGATCCAGCATTGCAGCAATCGTATACCTTAAGTTGGCCGGCAGAGAAAATAATCATTTTGCGCCCAAGTAAGCGCCCAATCATTTGTCAGGAGACACCGCTGACGTATTTGTTGAGATATAACTAGGAGAAACGGGTCAGCATACACATACAGACAGTGAAGACGAGACATGGCATTTGGTTGAATGGAGTGATCATAGAAAGAAAGGCACCGATGTAAGTCGTTACAGTGGACGTCGCCATCTGCATTGGTCATGCTTCTCTTCTGATTGAGGAGATGACCTCGGATGCGGCCACTGCGAAGCATATCGATAAGGCTGTGTATAGAGCACTACATGAATACAATTAAGGAAAGTCAGCTGTGCTCGGGAGCACGTCTGCTTTAGGGCCAAGACACAGTCCAGCACCAGATGAATATACCGGAAGCACAATGTACTCACCTAATGTGCCAAATGTCCTTTCCACGCTGTGTCTCGTACCCGCACCTATGTCGCCTCGGGTAACGTGGGCTCGGAAGCAAATGATATACAGACGCGAGAAGCTATGTGGCTTAATGACCGCTGTGTTGCCTCAAGTTTGCACCGAAGCGTAGTTCAACACGGAAAATCATCTATCACGGTGCTCAGTGGCCGTCAAGGGTCCTGATTCGATAGGCCATACCACTTAAACACCGCCAACCCGCGGTGAAGAGCCACGGTATGCCCAAGGGTACAACTATCTGACACCATACCCGTACCCTCCAAACCCGTCAGCGTAGAACCGCGGTGTTACCTGCACCCGTGCATGTCCCTAAGGTCAATGATAAAGTGGTTGGAATTGCGTAAAGTGGATAGTCAGGGATCGTAGTTTGAACGATTGATTAGCGCTGCTTCGTGGGATCCATGCCTTGCACACCTGCGGAATAGGAATGCTGTAAATATCATCACATAAACCTGCCAATCGAAGATTAGCACCGCCTTGTAAAATTCATACTAAATCGCTCGCCCACCTGGCCAACTTGCCCCCAAAATAATAGACCAGTAAACCAACCAGTGAGTGGTGATCAACTTGGTCGCCCCTATACTTGATCACAAACCGCGGCAGAGTCAGATTGATCCACCAGAATACGGTAACGAGCTATGACTTCTGAATCATCTGCAAAGCCCACCATCAAGGAAGCTTCGACCTCAGCACAAGCCAAAGGACCAACTGCAAAGCATAAGTTTGAAGGACATGAGAAAGCGATTTGGGATTTCGTCTTCTTGCACGACAACGTCCACATTGTGAGCGGTTCTGGGGACGGCACGATGCGGAAGTGGAACTGCGATACAGGACTTACTGTTGGGAAACCATGGAAAGAGAAGGGCGGAAGGATATATGCACTGGCGCTTTCACCGGACGGAAAGATCATTGCGTGCGGGAGGGATGACGGAAGCGTTCAGCGGTGGAACACCAACGGGAAGATGATTGCAGGCGTTTGGAAGGGTCATAGCGACTGGGTGCGGTCGCTCTCGTGGTCTCCCAGCGGGGATCATCTTGCAAGCGGATCCAACGATGGAACAATTCTGATTCGAAAAGCGAAAGACGGAAGAGTCGTGGTGGGCCCGATCAAGACGAAGCAGTCCCATATGTGTGCTCTGGCATATTCACCTTTGGGTGACAGAATTGCTTCAGGCGGGGATAACAATACGATTTGCATCTGGGGCACAAAGTCCGGCAAGTATGTTGTTGGCCCGGGCCCTCTCAAAGGCCTGGGGAACAGTAATGTGGGTAGCGTCCAAAGGGAAAACAAATCCTATCAAGAAACCTGTTGCAGGAGCCTTCGATGCTCGAACGTGAATCTGAGTCGTGATTGGTGTGGTAGTTGGTCACAAAGTGCGATGGGGACGCGTGCGATGATGGACCTCCAATGGCTTGTGAAGATTGAGCTGCATTGACGGCTACGGCGTGCGATGATGAGCCCCCAGTAGCTTGCGAAATTTGAGCTCCATTGGCGACCACGGCATGCGATGATGGCCCTGCATGTGCAGAGACTACTTGCAACGATGATGCGAGGTGTGACGAGTTGGCATCTGAGGGAGGAACACTGCCCGTCACCGCCAATGGCTTTGTTTTGCGTACCCGCTTCATTGCGACATATCCCTGCGAGTTCCATCACTGGTAAGAATACAAGTGTCCAGAAGATCAAACTGAATCTTACCTGGAACCCGCGCACAGCATATATCTCAACGACCTCGGGATGTTTCATTGCTGGAGCAATGTTGGTGTCGGAGAGGTCTTTGCCTCGAGCACGCATCATCCTCTTCCAGAGGTTTCGATTGTCTTTGCTATCGAGATCGTCGGGGTGAGCGGGATCATCAGACGGTGGGCTCTGTGCGTCCATGAGAGGCTCGTCTCGCTGTTTGTCTTTATCCTTTCTGGCGCTGAGCTGATCACCCGCGGAACTGCGCTGAAAGCCGTGGTGTTAAGGTGACATTGTGGGAGAGCCGAAACGACACTTACATTATTGTCACCTTGCTCGCCTTCACCTTCTGGTACTGTTTGGTTGGCTTTCATGGTTGCGAGCTCCAATGATAATTTTGAGCGAGCATGACGAGCGAATAACTTGCGCTTCGAGCGTTCTTTGGGAACGGACTCGTCTTCCACTGGGTGAGGGCGAGAGAATACCATCAGGAATCGGCGAGCTGAAAATAGGCGGGGGGAATGGGAGCCAGACGTTGCTGATGGAAGATATTAACACGAAGACTACAATCACATGTTGTCAGTACTATGTAGTTGCTTGAGAAACACAAGTTTTACCTGAAAGAAGTTGTGATATTGATCATCGTGCTCATCCTCGTTGATACCATCACCCCCAGTAGCATCAGCCTGCAACAGTGTTGTGAGCAAGGAAGACAAATAGTCAAATGTGAAATCCTGACGTTGAGGCAAGATGGTGATCGTGATGATGATGGGGAGTTGGGCCGAGTTTCCTGCTGTATACTTTGACTGTCACTTTGTTGAGGAAGTATGGGTGCTGTAAGCTGAGGAGCTATGTCATTGACAGACCAGAGAGTGAGTTTGTTGTCGTCTCCGCCATATGCTAAGTATCTCCCATTTGGAGAGAATGACACATGGAAAAGCCCAGCTGGGTGATCCTGGCTGAATGGCTGACTAAGTGGCTGGAGGGACTCTGTGTCCCATATTTTGGCAACACCGTCAATGCCCACGCACGCCAGAACAAATATTGTGTTTGGGTGAAAGTGTGATGGAATATAAAAAATTGTCGTGCTGGAAGGAAAGGAACTCGAGCAGGTTCCCTGGTTTGCTGTCGAAAACACGAACAAATTGGTCGGATGCAGAGTAAAGTTTTGTGTTGTCCGACGACCACACCAAGGACAATGATTCTTAGTGTTGGCTTGGTTTTCTTGCCATGCGTATGTTAGGTTGTATCTTTCCTTTGTTTTGAACCTTTTTTTCGCGCTGGCTATCAAACTCGTTCTGCCACATCAGTAATCATTCACATTATTTACGGAGTCAATATCATGCTTTGGTAAACGAGATGATAGCAGCAGATATCGTTGTTGTCCATGTACGTATATAAGCCTTGTCCAGGGCAATCATCGATATAATGGATCTCGGAATAAATGTACAACAGGATTGGCAAGTACAATTCTACGTATGTTTACTGCTTGAGGCATGGGTAGATCATGCATCGTTCATTGGCTGAGATTGGCTAGCAGTCGGTTGCTTCTTGCTGGGAGAATTGGGACCTACGAAGGAACTGTGCCAGGTAATTGATTCACATTTAGATAGGCTTGCGATATCGCTCGTGTGCGAAGTATCATGACTAGGAGTGGTCACCTCAATACCCAGTTCCCCGGCAGTGGATCACAGCGCGCTACCATGGAAAAACCTAGGACTCTGCGGTATCTTCCATTACGAGGTCGTGCAATTACAGTCACTGAATATAAAGCGTCCATCCAAAAAGAACGCATCGTAAAGCACCTCATCCAGGTCTTAAACTTCTATATCTATGGGAGCAGCCCCAAGGGAATGGCGCAGTCTCCGTATGCTGATGAGAAGAGTGATGTCTGGGTCCCAGGTGATATGATAGATGACCTGGTTGTTACCTGCAGTCTAGTTGGGTGACATGTTCTATGCGTTGCAAGTCAGCACGGCCATCGAATTGAGCAAAACACTCCCTTCGGTCCATGTCCCATAATCGGATGTCTTCCTCAGTAGCAACACCATGGACCATCCACGTCACACCAGTTGGGATTACATTGCATCTGCGCCAGACCCGCACACACGGTTCATCGCACACACGCTATTGGGCAACTCCTGAGGCCTGGAGCGCTCCTCAAACCATGTAATGACGAGGTAAAGGTTAAAGCAAATAGATAAGATATCTCCACTCACCGAGGGGAAAGGTTTCTCGTTCTCCTCACGCGAGTTTTGAACCTGGAAACGCTGCGAAGGCAAACGAAGAGGATGTGACGACCGTGAAGATCGCAATGTAGATCTTCTAGAGCGGCAGGTGCGCTACTGATCGCTCATGAGGCTGTAGTCATTCAAGGCCAGGAGGTAAATGCATCATATCATCGGCGTCTTGATTGCTTGTTGTGTTATTATGAAGCTCGTAGCCCTGAAGGAAGAATAAGTTAGAGGTCGCTTTGAGAATATCGGTCACACATTTACAGCAAACCAATAATTTTTATACCATTGGTAGGCGCACCCGGCACTGATATGCGACATCGCTTGGGAATGCACCAAGTGGACCAGACCACAGTGTAAACTGATCCCACGAAACACAAATCAGCGGGAACTCGATTTAAATCAAACACGTAGGTTGATACGTGATAACGTGGCTCTATGGGTCGCAGATGACCATGTATTACCACTTGAAGGAAAGAAGGAACTGACTGACGGAATCCTGCCAACCACATATCGGAATTCGCTTTTGTCATGTGAAAACAGCCATGTAAGAGGGTGGTAGATATTTGAGAGTGCAATTCGTGTGCCCACGTATTGCATGGACATGCATTGATCGTACCCTGAGTCCCCTGAAGGATATCACAAAACAGAGCACAGACCTCGGTCCGAGCGCCAGGTTCGAGGCCACATTATGTGTTTCAAAAGAACATTCATCACGGCAACATCACGGCGCTTCGCAGAGGCTGCCAATAACAATGTGGGAAATTTTCCATGCGTTGGTTACAAGGTTAACTTTGCACTGCGTCGTCGGAATGCTCAGATTTACTGCAGTCTTATTAAAAACGCATGCTGACTGACATGCATCAATTTTTTTTTCGGGTTATACAACTCATAGACCTGGACCGAAGACAGGGTGAGAGGTCGTTTCGTCAGTAATACGAAAGTACGGTAGATCAGCGCGCGAAGTGTCGCAAACGAGAGAAGGGTCGCACATTTACTACTAGTAGTCACTATCAGACTCGTCTGCGGAGATGGTTGGTAGCTGATAGAAATACGTGTCAATGAGGATTGTCACTTGAACGAGAGAAGGAACTGACTGGCAATCGAATCACTGACATACTGCCACGTCTCCGCTCAACCTTGGCTAAATTATGCTCCACCAGCTTGAAGTCATCTAAAACCGTCATCAAAAATACCTGTTGGATGGTGGTAGAAATTCGAACCTGCAGAGCGGCGCGTGTGGGGCAGAGGAGTATCATAGACATAGTGCGGATTAAATCACACAGTCACAGTGTGGCGATGTTGATATGAATCAATGATGTTGTGTTCGGATGTTGGCAAAGTCGGAAAGGTACTTAACATAAATCAATGTAGATATTTCGTCAAATTGCCCCCGTTACCATTATTTAACCTTTCGGTACAGACACGGAGGAAGAAGGAGGAAGAAGCCATGATTGTAGCGTAGTCAAAAACCAAGAAATAACACAAAGGCGAAATAGACCGGCAGGAGTGAGAGAGAAAAAGTCGACACCAAATACATGCAAATACTAGCCGGCTTGCACCCTCGAAATTATGTCCAGGTTCTAAGGATCGCCCCCGCCGGTAGCGTTGACCTTTCGGTAGTCTCGACGAGTCATTGTATAGTGTTTTCGTCGCATTTGATTTCTGTTTTGCAGGCCTTATCGACTTTCCCCCCCCCCCGCGGTGACTTCGGACAGTGGGGTCTTTCTGCGGCAGTGCGTGTCGAAATTGCTGCGTTTCAACTTTCCGTTGGCACAACAGAAATTGAATTGCCAAAAAGTCGTTCGTGCGCTGGATGTTTACGCTGGTCTCCATGAGGTTTACCAACTTCAAGTGCAGCGCTGGCATCAACTGATCATGAGCTGCTCAGGAAAGATTATGGAACGGATGACACGAACCCATCGCCACCTACATGTAAGATTGCCACGAATACTTCCTTACCTTAGACTTCCAGCCATGTCATACATCCCTGTTCCAGAATCACCACTGAGAGTCGAAGTCCTGTCTGGAATTGCGAAATGAAAACTACCGGCCGTAGTTCCCAAAGACGCAGGACCGCCCGGTGTAGCTTCAAAAGGGGTTGGTTTCGTGGTTTAACATGACCCATCCCCACATCAGATATCATGGCCTCTTCACACGAATACTTCCCTATTGCACTGGTAAACTCGCGTCCGAACTAATTGGGTACTAGGCTGATGTGTTTTATCCATCCAGGTCGGTATTTCTGCAGAGCTTCCAAGTGGCCCTCATGGAACAAGCAACCTTGACTATCAGTCGTTTTTCGACTTCCTCATGAATGAGCACCAAGCCTACGAGAAAATTCCAGAGGATAGGTTCAACATAGATGCGTGCGTCTGTCTCGCTTAAAACATGCCATCCGTCATTATTGACAATGTGCTCAGTCTTAAGGGATTGAATATCGGTGAAGTGGCTGCCACACATGGCGCATTCTTGAAAGATTTGGATTTATTCGATCCTATCGAATTCGGAATCAGCAGCAAAGACGCCAGGATGATGACAATTGGAACGCGAAAGCTCATCGAGCTGTCATTCCTTGCCTTGTTAGACTCTGGAATCGATTATCGAGGCAAGAATATCGGCTCTTACATGGCGAGCGTCGCCCATGACGCCTGGATGATTTCTGGCGAGGTTTGTGACACCTGTCTTATATCTCGCTGTCTCATTCCTAGTATCTCAGGATGAAACAGAAGCCCGCGGTTCATTGGCTTATCCCCCTGCAATGATTGCTAATCGTGTATCATACCACCTGGACCTACGCGGACCTTCCATCCCCACCGATACTGCTTGCAGCTCTAGTCTTTCGGCCTTCCATCTCGCCATCCAGGCCATACGTAATGGGGAGTGCGAAGCGGCGCTTGTGGGCGGTTGTCAGTTGAATCACAGGCAAGGATTTCTTTTCAGCAGTGTTTCAGAAAATTGAAGTTTGAAACACCTTAATCTAATAGGTTTGTGGATTGGCTGGCATACAGTCAAGCTGGGATTCTAGCACCGGACGGTAAATGCAAACCCTTCGACGCCTCTGCTAATGGGTGAGGCGGCTTTTGAGTCTGCATGGCACATTAATTGAGAATCATTTAAGATTTTCCCGGGGAGAGGGTGCCGTTGTTGTTGTCCTCAAACCGCTCGACCAAGCTCTCCTCGATCATGACCACATCTATGCTACGGTGCGCTCGTCTCCGGATCGGATATATGTCGTTCTCATTTTTCACAGGCTCTGGGTACTGGAATCAATTCGTCCGGTTCACTGGCTCCTGCAAACTCCCCTGTAGCTTATGCTCAAAGGGAAGCGATGTTGAGAGCTTTCAAGCAAGCCGGCCGTCAGCCACATGAAGTTGATTTCGTCGAGCTTCATGCCACAGGCAAGTTCCTGAAATCTAGACCTTTGATTGTTTGTAAAAACGTGTATGACCATAGGTACTGCTTCTGGAGATCCAACGGAAGCAAACTGGGTTGGAGAGAGCTTCCTGAAGAACGACAACAAGGAGCTCCTTATAGGTAGTGTGAAAGGAAACATAGGGTATGTTGTTCGGAATTAGGATCACAAATGCGGTCTCATTCTCCTTCCATCTAGTCACCTCGAGATTACAGCATTTCTTGCGTCACTTTGCAAGGTTTGTTCCATGTTTCAATCAGGAATCATCCCTCCAAACGTCAATTTCCTCGACCCTAATCCCGCCATTCATTGGGAGGACTTCCATCTTCGCGTCGCCTCATCGCCAACCTCGTTGCCTTGTCAATCTCCTACTGGACTCTCGCTGGTCTCGTTAGCGAGCTCCGGAATCGGTGGTGCCAATGGTCACTGCGTTGTTGAGGGCCCTCCTGCCACCAAGCCTGTAATCCCGTTCTGGCAGTCAGGTAGTATTCACGCACCTTGTCTTTTGGTTGCGGGCGGCCTTTCGCCGCGTTCAACGGTAGCCATAGGAGAGTCTATACAAGCCATGGACAGTGAAACATTATCTTCTGTAGCAGCGACCTTCGGACGTCGATCCAGGTCCACGCCTTGGCGTTCTTATGCGGTCACTTCGTCAAATTCTCCCCCTCGTTTTACTGAGCCGGTTCTCGCTCCCCGTACTCCCCCACTCGTGTTTGTGTTTTCGGGACAAGGTCCTCAGCACTTTGAGAGTGAGACATGATCCCAAATAATTTATGAATTGATGCTAATTTTCGTCAGTGGGCAGAGAGTTCTTCAGCTCCTGCACTGTCTTCAATAGGAGCATTCTTGAAATGGACGAAGTGCACAAGCGTACAACTGGATTTTCGCTCATCGCACGGACTGGTCTTTTCACTCAAAACGCTCCTTGTGCAGAAGCACTCGGGGACGTCTGGCCTATTGCATTGACTCTTCCTGCTCTTACCATGCTTCAAATAGCGACCTTCGACGCTCTTGTGAGTCTGGGGATGAAGCCTGCTGCGATCGTGGGCCACTCTGCAGGAGAGACCGCGTTGTTATACGCATCTGGAGCAGGTTCCAAAGCCATGGCTGTGGAGCTTGCGATCGCGCGCGGACGGGCTATGTCAATCGTCGAAGGCGCGATGGCGGCAGTCGCATGCTCCCCCGAACAGGCCCAGAAAGTTATATCTGAGGTGTGCGCCGAGCGGGGGAATGCCATTTTGGATCTTGCCTGCTATAATACTCCTGACGCCATCACTCTGTCGGGATCATCTGCCGACATCGACCTCGCAGTGAAACGCGCGAAGGCTGCAGGATTTTTGGCCAAGCGATTAAATACTACCATTCCTGTGCATTCCAAACTGATGGACGTTTGTCGCGACGAGTTTCTGCGCCTGGTGACAGACATATTCGATCGCTATCCCTCGCAGCCCCCTAAAATCCCAACATATTCCACCGAACGCGGCATGCTGAAACACGACCGATTCAGCGCAGAATATTACTGGTCCACCACGCGTGGCCCAGTGCAGTTCACAGGAGCAATTCAGCGTATGATTCACGACATCGGTACTCCGAGCTTTTTGGAAATAGGACCTCACCCAGCTCTTGCTGGTTATCTGCTCACTCTCGGGGGCGAGACAGCTACTGTTGTCTGTCCTCTGCGGAGACCCAAGGGCAATCAAGGAGAAGTGGTTTCTTTCCTCGAGGCTTTGGGGAAGCTGGCGGTTGCTGGACATTGCTGCATCGACTTCAATGTTCTCAATGGATGCACCGCAGCAGACGTCCCAAAACTACCCGCCTACCCCTTTTCCCGCAAGAAGCTCTTCCTGTACCCAAATTCTTCTTCCATGCAGAGAATTCGTCAGCCTCGCAACGGGCCGTTGAATTACTCTCCGCTTCGTATCAACTCGCAGACGCACCCTTACCTGGCTCAGCATGTGATCCAAGGCGAGCCTATCATGCCTGCCACAGGTTTCCTTGAAATGGTAAGCACGCACTCGCGAGATCTGAGGGTAACCAAATTCGATCCGTATTTTCCAGGCATTGGAATATGGTGCACGACAATTATGGGACATCAACTTCTTATTCATGCTCTCTCTATCTGGGGATCAACCGGTGCCAGTTGATGTTAGCATCGAAGGACCTCGTTGGTCGGTGCGCTCTGCTCTAGTAAATCCATCGCAATTGCCCGGTGCACCCCCCCAAGTACGTGAAACGGGTGTTTCGTTCTTCGCTCTACGACTCACCGACGGTTTAGTTTGATCGTCTGCATGCTGATGGCTACCTATCTCTGGATTCTCCATGGTCAACCTTGCCGGCAGTGGACATCCAAGTGATCAAAGCACGCTGCACGCAAGTTAGCGTTGAAGGTCCGTCACGAATCGCTGTCGGGCTTCGTCACTCACCCGACTGTCACAGGTTTTTATGAAGGGTTCGAGCACTTCGCTCAATATGGCCCAGATTATCGGAGGATGTTGGATTGCTACCGGGGTACTAACGGAGGACACGACGAAGCACTGATACAGATCCGCGGGGATGTCGGGGACCTTCCAGGGTGCGATCATTCGTTTTGTTTGTGGTGAGATGCTCATGTGAAAAATGACAGACTGGAGAAGTTCAAGATCCACCCCGTCATCTTCGACTCCGCAATACATGCTCTGGTCCATCCAATGTTCACCTGTCTCGCAGACAAATCGTTGTATTATCTTCCTTCTCATCTGCACAACCTGACGATCCATGAAACACTTGTTACGTCCCCATTCCCGCGGTCTCTCTATACTCATGTTGTTTTCCGCCAGTGGACACCTCGTGAGTTTGCTTATGATTAACAGCTTGTACGGTGACTCATACCAAAGAAGAATCTCTGACGTATGATGTTACCCTCCTGGATGAGGATGGAAATCGTCTCTGCACGATGGACTCATTCGAAGTTGCCCTTCACGGAGAGTCCTCTCTATACGAGCCGAGACGTCGCTTCGACTTGGCGTATGAGCCCATGCCACTCGACCTGTCTTCGTGTCGTCAGCCAACCCAGCAAGAATTACCGGCGCACGACCAAACCAGCGATAACTCGCTGGGCCTATTGGGTATGGATGCTGCAACGTCATTGTCGGCTCCGCTCGACGTCATCGTTTACGAGCACGGAAAAGGGTTAGAACTTCAGCCGATATTATCCGCACAGGACACTGCTGCTCCTCGCACTATCTTTTTCACGGCACTCGCTGGTGTTGACGGAGACGAAGCCGTTGGGTTCGTGCGTGCCTTACGGAAGGAATATCTTTCATGGACAATTCGCGTCATAGTGTTCGACCCGGCTTGGGACGATGAAAGCATAAGACGGGCGGTTGAAGTCGTGTCCAAGATGCCCGAGGTGGAGACGGAACTCGTGGTGGACGCATCGGGATCGGTACATGTCCCAAGAATAACACTGTGCGAGGGTCCGAAGAACGTCTCTCCTTTCGACTTCCACGAGCCATGGCAGCTCGAGAAGTCGGCAGTCGTTCATTGTTCGTCTCCTCCTGTGGATTGTCGTTCGGCTGTCGTGCATGTGCACAGTGTCAGCCGGTCGGACGATCAGATATGGACTTTCGTTGGCTCCCTGGGCAGTTCTCGCAAAGGTGTCATGGGGATATCCGCTTCTCCCATTGGAAACATCATCACCTCGCCACTTGATAGCCTGGTGGATGCCCCTGCGTCCGTGGGTGTTGATGCGTTGACGGGTCCTCCCGTTCTCGCTATCGCTGTAGCAGTCCTTGCTGTTGGTCCTGCATATTTTGAGAACCCGGGAAGGTTCCGCGGAGAAATCCTTGTGACACATGCAGATACTCAGACTAGCATGCTAATAGCTCAACTCTACCTTCTCCAAGGCTTTTCCGTCGTTACTCTAACGCAACATGCGACGGACTCCGAAATCAGCCGTCTCCCAAATGGTCATTTCAGTATCATCGTCTCTGAATACAGAGACGCGGGAACGCTTCATCTCTTATCGCGTCTCTTGACGGCTAACGGGAGGACGTTCCCGTGGAAGCATCCCACGAAAGGCTTGCAATCGCTGCTCGCCTGCGACCCGTGGTTGGTCGGTCACGCCATTCGTCTTGGATCAAGCATAGCTGGCAACGAGCTCAAGATTCGCATGCGCAACCTAAGCGATATCATCACCACAAAGCCCGGCGATCTCGTCCCTGTGAAGAAGCGTCTTTTCAGCGACAAGAAAGCTTATATACTGGTGGGAGGTGTCGGCAGCCTTGGACTTCAGATTGCCCAGTGGATGTACAAGGTCAGGACGTCCGTTTTCGCCGAACTCACTTAATCATGCTAAGTCGACTAATTAGAATGGGGCTCGGGAAATCGCTCTGACTTCTCGGTCTGGGCGCGCTGGAATTCTGCGCAGGGGAGACACTGCATCTCAGCGCATCATCACATATCTCGACAACCTACCGGATTTAAATTTACGCATCGAGGCAGTCGATGCCCTCAGCGAGGATGGTATGAAAGCGTTGGTACGAGGACTCCAGAATCCGCTCGGGGGATGTGTGTTACTCTCCGTGGTTTTGGCGGATGGCCTCTTTTCTGGTCTGTCCACTGAGAACTTTAATGCGCCATTCAATGGGAAGATTAGAGGATTCGAGGTGCTATGCAACACCATTGACACAAGCAAGCTGGATTTCTTGATTTCGATCTCCTCGGTGTCGGCACTTTTCGGGAATGCGGGACAAACTAATTATGCTGCGTACGTCTTTTGAGTTGTGTGCGTAAATCGACGGCTCACATTCCTTAGAGCGAACACCGTGTTGGACGGCAGACTGCGCGCCATGCCCAACGCGTTCTCCATTGTGACTCCCGCAGTCACAGACTCATTCGTCGCTACATTGAATCCCACAAAGCTCAAACGCTTGGCAGATTGGGGGATGTCGTCTCAGAGTGAGTTGTCCCCTGACCATGACGATGCGGAACTCGAATTCATATTTCCTCAGGGATCGTCCAATTCATCGGTGAAGGTATTCAAAAGCTCGCTGACGGCCCTTTCTGGCTCTATATTCCGGAATTCGAATGGGAAGCGGTCCGCGCCACGCTGGGAAATGAACAGATGTATACTCACTTATTGCCCGAGCGGACGGTCGCAGAATATGGAACGTCGACCTCAAAGGATAGTGTTTCGATCAGTGACGTACTGTGTGCCACCCTGGACATTGCGCGCGAAGACTTGTCTCCCGACGTTCCTTTAACGGTGTATGGTTTGGATTCGTTATCTGCTGCGAGGTTATCCTTTGCCTTGAACCGCTTCTTTGCCATCAGCCAAACCCAACTCCTTGCAAATGTCACCCTTCGGAGTCTAGAAGCCCGGTTAGAGGACCAGCAGCCGTCTTCCCTCTCTGAAGCAGAGCAAAGCAGTGCATCTTTGCTTCACAAGGTATCTGAGATGAGGTCCTTGGTTTCCAAGTACACGTCTGGATTCAAGAGCCCCAAGACGCTGCTGCCTTCCTCTCCGAGGTCACGAGACTGCGCCGTTCTTATCACCGGTACTACAGGCATCGTGGGCGCACAGCTTCTGGAATGCTTGCTCCGTGCACCAGAAATCAGTCGCATATTTCTTCTCAACCGTGCCAAGCCCGGAACTTCGACCATGTTGGAACGTCACCAAGAGATTTTCCAGACACAGTCCCTCGACCCTATGGGACTGGACACAGACAAGGTTGTGTATTTAGAAGGCATTTTGGATAAAGATTACTTTGGGCTGTCACCTGACACGTTCAACGACGTGAGCACTAGTCTTCTTATATTCCAGTATTGAGGTTCATCCTGTCTTAGATGGCTCGAAACGTCACCCACATTGTACACGTCGGTGAGGAGTTCCTTACCTTATTTCACATTCATACTGAACAGCCTCTAGCTTGGCCAGTGGACTTCGCCATCCCCCTCGCTGCGTTTGATAACGCTCTTCACGGTCTGCGGAACTTGGTGGACTTCGCCATTTCCTCGCCCTGGCAAGTTGCGCCTCAGTTACTTTTCACAAGCTCATTCGGTGTATTGAGTGGTGAGGTGCTTTGGGTCATCTGACATGCACTGAACAGCTGATGTTTTGGCAGGTCTGGCATCGTCGAGCGCCGTAGAAGAGGCTCTTACACATGACCCCAGTATATCTGTTGGCACGGGGTATATCGAAAGCAAATGGGTTGCAGAGCACATCTTGGCGGCGGCGGCTGATGCCACGCGACTGAAACCAACTATTATTCGCGTGGGGCAACTCACTGGAGGGCGCAATGGCAACTGGAAAACAACGGAATGGATCCCATCCATGATCAGTTCAGGCCTCCCCCTCGGCTCTTTGCCTAATCGTTCTGATGTGAGTTCTATTGATTGCCGTCCGACTATCGCTGACCTTTGTAGACTATCAATTGGCTTCCGATTGATGTCGCGGCGGCATCGATGGTGGAGATGTTCGATTCACCCCCTGGCGTGTATCACTTGATCCACCCAAGTCCTGTTTCATGGACTACTCTGATGCAGGAAGCTGCTCGCATCATGAACATTCCGCTGGTCCCGTACGCTCAGTGGCTCGCTTCTTTGGAGAAACAGGCGTCGTCACAAACGGCAACAGCGTCGCAAAATAATCCTGCACTGAGGTTGCTTGATTTTTTCAAGTACACTGCTCGCAGAAAGAATCTCACTACGAATACCGAGGTCTTTTTGGGGCCGGAGCTCTCATGTTCTAAGTCATTGCGAGAATCTCCGACGATGCGATCAATTGTTTCAAACCCGCTGGGAGCGAAGGATGTAGCTAAATGGATAGGATACTGGCGCAGCGTTGGCTTTATTCCCGTTTGATTCATATTCAGCACCCTCCTGTCAATGTAGATACGTCTGTCCCCATACTAACATGCAGTTCTACATATCTAGAGCTAAATCGACATACTATGATATCACAGAGAACGCTCTGTTGAGGACAGTGGAGCTACTTTAAACTTACCAGCCTCAGCTGTAGACACTCAATATCTCGACGGCCAGTGCCACCCTAGAATTGAACGAAAATACTAATTCAAGCACGACACAGGGGGGATCAGTGTTTTCTTGGTGCTGGTAATGACGGTTCGGTCCCCTGACCACTGGCCCGGGCCAGCATCCCGTTGTCAGGGGAAAGCAAACACAGAGTTGGTGTGACCGTGCAAGGGACCGCGGCGACCTTCCCAGTCTCTGAATCACCGCCACCCATATACCAATAACTCTGCCAGTGCTCCGCCTTATTATTATAATCGCCTTCCGGGAACGTTTTCCTCAGTGTTGACCACCACCATTCCATGTTGCAGTGGGCCGATGATCTTCTCGGATGTCCACCTCCCCCTTCATCTTTTCTATGTGCACTGTCATCAAGTTCTCCGCATGGAATTATGGCAATAGAGATGCTGACCTTCAAACATCCTGAGAGAATCCTGGTGTGACACAGGTGATTTCCTGTTGCTGGCTTTCGTGCTGGGCGCCGCTGTTGACCTGGATCTGCACCGCTATGCTCGGCGCATAGCATTATATCAACGCTCGGTGGCAAATGCTGTTATTAGCCTCAGTGATGTTCCGGGCAACGTAAGACTTAAGTACATGCTTCCCACGTCCGACTCAGTTTGCAGACATTCCAATGTCAGACAACCTCGTAAAATGGTTCAGATACGACCTGTCTGCGGCATTCTTATTATCTAGGGCAATGGAGTTCATAGCGATGCCGGTGGGGCAATTGACGGTTTGAATTCAGAACGCCGGCCCAACGAGGTGCGTGATCCATTTGTTGACGCGTTGTTTGCAACGGTCACGTGTCATTCAAGTTGTCCGTCTAATTAGTCCGAACGGTTGTCACTCGTTTTGCTTTCACTGGCAGCACGGAACGGAAAGCCCGAGGACCTGATGCCATTCCGATCGATATCGCATCATCGACGAAGGTTCGAAAAATGGTCATGTGTACCCTCCCTTGGCCAGAGTAACTCATGTACTTCCGAGGCCCGAGTATCTCTAAGGCAAGACTTTTTTTCATCCTATCTTCGCATGCAACGATCACGCTGGCACGGAATTCATCGCTATCATAGGTTTCGGATCCGGAGATATCGAGGTTAACTGTGAGTGCGTTCTACTGTGCATTGATTGACGTGCGAGAGGAAGTACCTCGCAATTACTGAGTGACATAACATCCCGGACACCACACATTTTGTGGGACTTCCAGTCGGCTGGTCTGCATAGCCCTGCAGGATGTCATCCCTGCTGTGAACATCGCATGTGGTTGTGAAATAATCTTGGAGACGTATACACAGGGTGCGATAATGGTATTTCGCTCCCCTCTTGTATCTTACTCCCCGCGACTTGTCGGTGAGTGGATAATAGCCAATATGTTGTACTCTTCTGTTTATCATCTTGAAAAGTCACGGGGTCAGTATCGCATGCGATTGCTATACTCTGCACCATCTGCAGGCTGGTTTACAGAGGTTGGACGCGTCAATTATGGTGGGAAGATGCATGGGCGGCATTTGCACTGATGTCAGACGGTAGGGTGTTTCTTTTGTGCTGCCTTGCTCAGTAAATCAACTACTGTATCCCCCAGTTATCTGCCTGGTATGGATCTGGACCCCTACTTCGAGAAGTTGTGAGTACTTGACTTTACACTCCAAAATTTATCTCATGTTCACGCCAGTACCGGTCTGGACCTTCGCTGTGGCTTCTGCCTCCGTCGTGTGGTGCGCATCACAGTTCACACAGTTACAATTCTGACTCATTATTCCAGGGCCGCGCGCATGAGCATCATTTTCTCCATCATCCGAATCACCAACCCTTCAGGTGACAAGATCCACAAATGGATCACTTACCCCATCGCAGTATCCTTCGTGTGCATGTGGGCCGCGCTGGTCGCGTACAAGATCAGCGTGTGCATTTACTACTTGTGCCGGATGACCCAGGCAGTGGCACTTTCCCAACTGATCAGTCAGTACCCCTTTCTACTTTCTGTGCCGGATATGGTCCTCAAGTTATCGGGTTTCTGCAGCTGATGTCATTGCGGATGTTTCCCTCATTGGTGCGCCGCTGCAGTTGTGGAAAAATGTAAAGCTCTCGCGCAACAGCAAAATATTGATCCTGTCTGCATTTGGCTCATCGCTTTTAATCACTGTAATCACAATCCTGCACTCGACAATGCTCTTCCAGTCAACCACAGAAACTACGCTCATCATCGCGCACGTCAAGGTGAGCATACATCCATACTTGCATCCCTCTGCAAACTTCTCATGGCAATTAGGCCGCACTCAGTCTCGTCATCTGCAACTTCCTGGTGATAGTCACCTTGGCATATCGCATGTGCTGGAAGGAAAGACTCGATCTCGACCAGTCGTTCACATCTCCCGGAATCTTCTCGAGCGTTGTCGTGACACAATTCCCCTTCAACCCGAACTCCAGGACGTCACCCTCTGTCCAAGAGGAGACAAACCAAGATAAATAAGGACGGCGCGGACTATGCAGAAGATGAAAGACGCTAGCATTCTTTCTGCCACAAAGGGCATTTCCACTGAAGAATGGAAAGCTGCATTGGAGGATAGCGGTTGGTGATCGGGAGATGTGCGTTTCTCATTATATAACATAACCGGGGTATGTTATATGCTGTACGGTCTTAAGTTTGTCGAATAATTGGGATTTCAAATTATCAGTGGTTTACCTTCCAAATATCGTTCATTGCGGTCTGGGTGCTGGTTCGAGTCACAAATCTACATCTTCGTCATTCTAACTCGAAGGCCATGATTCCACACCCAGGTGTTCTTCAATTACCGCAAGGCGTGATAGTCCTGCCTCTGGCTGTGACTTCTTGATGAGTTAGATGGACTCTCTGCTGAGACTACTGGCGCTTATGCGCAGCACAGTGCGAAATCATAGACGAAGTTCTCCTCAAGTCCGTCTCAATCGTTGCCGACATTTGACAACACAACATCAGTGTCCAATTCACACATGCACCATAAGGTATCATACTCCCTACAATTGTATCCATACATCGTTTCTACATTGTTATAATGCTGATGCTGTTTTGCGATGTATTGTACTGAAGCAAGTGCTGTGCGGGATTACGGTCTGCTCAGACTCTGCTGCTCCGCATCAAATGCAACGTACAATGTAACGTAAGCTAAGAGTACATGCTTCCCACGTCCGGCGCACAGTGTACACAGACATGCCAGTGTTGGACAATCTCATTAACTGATTTGCTACGAAGTTCATTACCGTATTATCCATCATTCGATCAGTTTCTGCACATCCTGGTCGTCGTGTCGTATCACGTGCCACTATTTTCAAAGTCGCGTAACAGTTCTAGTGGACCACTTGGCACTCGACCCTTTCCACAAATAGGATTCATCAACGAAGGTTCGAAAAATGGTCGTGTGCGCGCCCCGTGGCCGTATGTTGTGGCCGCTGAGGCCTCCGAATATCCTATGACAAAACCTATCTTCGTCTGCAACGATCCACACAGGTCCAGACTCGGAATTCATTGCTATCGAGGCTCTCTGCGAGTGCGTTTTACTGTGCATCGGCTGGCGTGCGAGAGGAAGCACTTCGTTATCACTAAGTTCCATGACAACGGACACTATACATTTTGTGAGACTCTGCCAGTCGGCGGCCTGTCTGCCCAGCCCTGCAGGACCCAGGTTGTGTCACTGCCCAGCAATGCCCAGAACGTCGCGTGTGATCGCCAAACTCGGAGAGATGTACCAAGGGTTCTCTTGTGTCACATATAGCAGGTGAAGGTTCAACATCCGATGGTAATGATTGCCCTTTCCTTGTTATGTGATCATGACACCTTACTCCCTTCGACTGGTTGGTGAGTGGAAAGTACCCAGTGTGTTGTGCTCGTTGTTGATTATCTTTTGTGGAAAGTCGCGGCTTCGGTCTCGCAATCGATTGCTATACTCTTAACCATCTTCAGGCTTGTTTACAGAGGTTGGACGCGTCAATTGTGGTGGGAAGATGCATGGGCGGCGTTGGCGTTGGTGTCAGACGGTAGGGTTTTCCTTGCCTACTTCCTTGTTCAATACACCAAATATTACATCCCCCAGGTGTTTGTCTAGCATGGATCTGGGTTCGTACTACGAAAAGGTGTAAGTACTTGGCTCCGCACTCGCAAATTTGCCTCACGTTCATATCAGTACCTGCCTGGACCTTCGCTGCGGCTTTCACCTCCGTCGTGTGGTGCGCATCACGGTTCACACAGTTACATTTCTGACTCATTAGTCCAGGACTGCGCGCATGAGCATCATTTTCTCCATCATCCGAATCGCCAACCCCTCAGGTGACAAGGTCCACAAACGGATCACCTACCTCATTGCAGTATCCTTCGTGTGCATGTGGGCCGCGCTAGTCGCGTACAAAATCACCATGTGCACAAACTACTCGTGCCGGATGACCCGGACAATAGCGCTCTTGCAACTGACCAGTTAGTACCCTTTCTGCTTTCTGTCCCTGATATGGTCCTCAAGTTAGGGTGTGTCTGCAGCGGACATCGCCGGTGATTTCCCCCTCATCGTTGCACCGCTGCAGTTCTGGAAAAATGCGGGGCTCTCTCGCAACAACACAATATTGATCATGTCTGTTTTCGGCTCATCGATTCTGATCACCATCGTTACAATCCCGCACTCGATAATGCTCTTCCATTCCGTCACAGAAACAACGCTCATCATGTCGTACGTCAAGGTAAGCACTCGCCTTTACTCGTATCCATGTACGACAAGAAAACGTGACGGAAATCAGGCCGCCCTCAGTCTCGTCGTCTGCAACGTCCTGGTGATAGTCACCTTGGCATATCGCGTGTTCTGGAAGGAAAGACTTGAACTCGACCAGTCGTTCACGTCTCCTGGGATTTTCTCGAGCGTCATCGTGACACAATTCCCGTCCGACACGAACTCCAGGACATCACCCTCTGTCCAAGAGGAGACAAACCAAGATAAATAAAGACGGCGCGGACTAGGCAGAAGATGAAAGACGCGAGCGTTCTTTCTGCTACAGAGGGCACTAGCACTGACTGAGGGATGCACAACTACATTAGAGGATAGAATGGCGAGAAGCGATTGATTGACCTTACAACACAACAGTGGTGTTTTATATGCTGTACGGTCTCAAGTTTGTCGAACAACTGGGATCTAAAATTATCAGCGATTTACCTTTCAAATTTTTCATCATCACGGCCTGGGTGCTGATTCGAGTTGCAAATCGTCCACTCGTTCATCTGAATTCAAAGCCGGCAGCGATGTCCTAGTGGCTGGCAGGGACTACAAAGTGTTGTATTGTCTTCTGGGCGGGGGTAGGGCTTCAAACGAGCAATAGATGGTAAAAGTTCGGAGAACATATGAACAGCAACATGGGCTATGAAGCAAACGATAGCTAGACACGAGAAGCTATGTTGCTGAATGGTTGTTGTGTTGCCTGGAGTATGCACCGAAGCGTAGTTCACGATACTAGAGTGATTGGAATTTAGTAAAGTGTATGATTGGGGATCGTAGTTTGTAAAGATCAAACCAGCCAAAAAGCTGTATTGCGGCATGAACCTGTGAATGGACGATTAGCGCCGCCTCGTGGAATGAACGCCTTCCACCTACAAGACATAAATACTCGCCTACCTTGCCAACTTGCCCCCAAACAACAGACCAGCAGACCAACAAGTGAGTGCTGATGACTTGTTCATCCCCATAATAGATCACCGACCGCAGGAGAGTCAGACTGTTCCACCAGATGACGGTAACGAGTTATGACTTCTAAATCCTCCGTAAAGCCCACCCTCTGGGAAGCGTGGGCAAGAATGGTGTTGCACAACTGTGGGACACAGAGTCCCTTCAGCCACTTGCCCAGTTAAGCCAGGATCACGAATTCCTTTACCATGTGTCGTTCTCTCCAGACGGGTACCATCTAGCATATGGCGGAGACAACAAAAAACTCACTCTCTGGTCTGTCAAAGACATAGCTCCTCAGCTTGCTACACCCATACTCCCTCAACAAATTCAAGAAACTCGGTCCAACTCCCCATCATCATCATGCCTCGACGTTAGTACTTTCACGTGTGACCACTCGTCTGCCTTGCTCTCAGTGCTGTTGCAGGCTGATGCTACTGGCGGTGATGGTATCATCGACGAGAGGCGCGATGATCCATACAACAACTTCTTTCAGGTAAAACTTGTGTTTCTCATGCAACTGCACAGTGCTGACAACATGTATCTGTAGTCTTCGCGTCAATCTCTTCCGTCGGGGACGCCTCACTCCCATCTCCCCCGCCTCTTTTCCGCTCGCCGCTTCTTCAAGGTCTTCTCTCGCCCTCACCCACCGGAAGACGAGTCCGTTCTCAATGGACGCTCGAAGCGCAAGTTCTTCCCTCATCGTGCTCGCTCAAACTCATCCCTAAAGCTCGCAACCATGAAACCCAACCAACCAGTACCAGAAGGGAAAGTGGGAGAAGGAAATGGCGAGCAAGGTGACAATGATGTAAGTGCCTTTCCGGCTCTCCCACAATATCATCTAAACACAACACGATGGCTTTCAGCGTGGTTCTGTGAATGATCCGCTCGGCGCCAGAACGGATAAAGGCAAACAGCGAGACGAGACTCCTACCGACGCGCAGAGCCCACTGCCTCATGCACTCACTCGCCCTGCCGACCTCGATAGCAAATATAGTCGAAACCTTTGGGAATGGCTAATACAGGCACGAGGAAACAATACTATATCCAGTTCCCTGGATTTCAGTACTCGGCCTTCAAATGCACTTAAATCAATACCCCGCCAGCCTTGGCACCGGAATTCCAACCCATTTCCCGTAAGATCTTCCAGACGTCTCGTTGATGTGGCCGCTTGCCGCGACGAAGATGTGAGCAACTTGTCATTGCTGCTCTTTCATATCATTTAAATCACTGTGCAGAGATACGGCATTGTCCCTGAATCTGACGCGGAAGCGGCTGCAGCTATGCTACGCACAAGCGACAATGAGGTCGACAGTCCCATGCAACCAGGTCAACCTGCAGTGGGGGCGCAAGTGTCTCACGGGTGGCCCACACAAACACAAGCCTTGACCAGCAGGCCAGAGGGAGACGTCTATGAAGGAGTAACCTGCTGCGGATTTTTCTTTGGCTATCGTCGTCGTTCCAACTCACTTCAGCCATGATGTCATTTTCTGAGACACTTTGTCACTCAATCAATTTCTTTGTTTGCATAGTAGATGGACCATCTCATACCCAGCTCTGCACCATCCGATGTACACGAGCGGTAATATATTGCATAGCTGACCACATGACATCATCTCATTCGAAAGAGCCGCGTCCCGAAACCCAATTGACTGATATGCATACTTGATGCATACCCTCTGAGAGTTGTCCACGGTTCACTGCGAGTCACTCATTTGCGATCGCGCTGGTCAAGTACTTGAACGCTGGGTAGAAAAATAACAAATTGCATTTCAGGTTCAAGGAACTCCGAATGCGGCTGACGACAAATTATCCGACTCGGTGATCTTGTCGCCCCAGTGATAGTGACCACTGACTGGGACCTTTGTTCCTTCGATCCCTCAGATAGCTCACGACCTCGATCCAGCAGGTGCTGTCGTGAGGCATGTTTCCGAATTTTGCAGTATGCACTAGCTGGTTATTCAGAGTCGGATGTCCTCAGCTTTGCTGTGAGTAGTCTTTGCGAATGCGATGGGGGGTTTGGTGTGGGCAGCGTAAGTACTCATTTTGTAAGTTTTTTCAATGGCTGTTCTTTCGGACAACTTCATCCCCCAGAGATGGGCGCTGGCCAATGTTCTTGTGGCCCTGTGGGGCATGCTTATTTTGTGAATAGGAAGCCTCGACGTTGGAGCATCCGCGTCTCTCAAACGCTTGCTGTTCTTGGGGTTTGTTCAGGCTTTTGGATGGATTGGTGGAGTGTTGGTGGGTGCGGCCGATATTGATGACATCGACAGACTCGAGCAGCGAGGTACTGCCATGGGCATTTTCTTTCGGGTACCGACCTTCCAGTTGAACACGCATCGGCACCAAACTTCGTTGTCTTGAAGCCGGGGGAGGCTTTCGTTGATCATCGCGCTACTAGTAGCGCCCAGCCTTCGCCACCTGCTGTCACGACTCTACCTGAGCTTTCCAACAATAGCGGATGTAAAGGTGGGGCTACGTCTCCAACTAGTTTCTGACCACAGTAGTTCCTTCGGTCATCAAAGAATAGGACGATGCAACACAAACTGTTCGAGAGATCAAACGTCCATTGAAGTGTTTCGCTTCAAGCTGTACATAGACCAGGCGCAATCAATTGGATTGGAGATGCACAAATACAAGCTGAATATGTGAGATAGTGCGTCAGAAGTAAAGACCAAAACATGGTGTGATACGGCAAGCACGACGCAAGGCCCGAAAACTACGAAGACTGTGCTCCCGGGTGTTCTTCAGGTGCCGCAAGATGAGATAGTCATGCCTCTGGCTGGGACTGACTGGCCATCGGATTCAATTCGATGTCTTCGCGCTGGACAATTTGGACCCTACGACACTGCATCAGGTCATCCGTAGAACAATTGAATGTGATTTTAATACCTGGGGCTAGGCATCGAGACATTGAGAGTCACTACCTGTTCATTGTCAACTGGTGCGGCGAGGCGAGATGGTCCTGCCTCAGGCTGTGATTGAAAAAAAGTCGCTGGGTTCAATTTGACTTTTTGGGGGGCGTTAAATTGGGTCCTACAGTAGTACATCAGTGAAGCTATTTAACGAGCATATCACCTGGTGTTACCTGATAGTAGGTATGCGAACGTTAGCAACAGAATGCTCGGATTCGTCATCCGAAGGGTCGTCATCATAGACTGGCCGTGGAACCGGTTTCTTCACCTTTTTCTGGAACCAAGAAAGGCAAAAGAAGAGCACGTATGGTCGTTCTCCATCGTCCACACCAACGGCATCACCCTAGTGAAGGATAGGGTCAGATCTCAAGAAAACGAGTAGAATTTGGAAAACAAACATATGTGACTTGTCCAAGAGGAACATTGACGTGTCGCGGAGTCTTTTGCTTCCCCTTCTTGTGGAATGACGGCCGAATGTCATTGAAAAAGGTCCTGACATCGAGCGAACGAGAAGGTGACAGGCGTTCCTCATGAGCAAGTGGCGATGCAGAGGAAGTGGTGCGCCGGTAGTTCACCGGCATATCTCGGCGCTGGCCATGAATATACGACTAAAAAGCACGTCAAACACAATTGAAGCGGAGGCCATCAAATGGGCTTCAAACGACGTACATTTTGCAGTCCTCTCATCTGGTCGAGAGTCAGCATGTATATCATATGCAAGTTGAGAAAACGCACCTTGTTTTTGGCTCGACCAGCCTTGGAATGACTCTGCGTGTGAGCAAGCGAGGGAGTGAGATCACAAGTGAGGAGTACTCACCTCGTTCTTCGGGCTGGCCAGAGAAACACTTTCCGCTGCCGCGAGGACATCCTCAGGTATCTCCCATTGCGAGATTTTCTTGTCGTTGCCGCCACTGAATATGGCGCGTCCATCCGCCGAAAATGCAACATAATACACCTCATCTGAGTGCTCAAATCGGGCGACTTCTGTGCCTGTGGGGAACTGCCATAATCGAACAGTGCGGTCGTGAGATGCTGATGCAAGAAGGGTGCCAGCCGGGTTCAATACGATGTGACAGATGTGCTCATTTTCGTCATGGCCAGTCCAAGGATCACCAACCTGTTCCCAGGTGGATGTGTCCCAACAGCGGATAACAGGATCACTGCGACTACCGGCTGAGAAGAGATGTGCGTCATCACGAGTCCAGGCGAGCGAGTTGTTGTATGCATTGTTAAAGCCGTGGTGGCCGTTGAATTGAGCAAGACGCTTCCTTCGTTCCAAGTCCCATATTTGGATATCTTTGTCGGTAGCAACGCCGAGTTGACCGGTCGGAGAAAATCGGATGCAAATGATGTGTGAGCCGCACGCAAGAGGAAGACCTTTCCTCTGCCAGGTGGTCGTGTCCCATAAAATCACTGTGCGATCATATGATCCGCTGGCCAATATCTCGCCGTCAGGGGAAATGTCCAAAGTAATCACAGCGTTTGTGTGACCTTCCAAGGGACCTGCCACGATCCTCCCACTCTCAACATCGCGTACCCATAATTGCCAATACGCCACATTATCGGCGTCGTCGTCTTGAAGACCTTTTTCAGGATCGCTTCTTGGGTCCTCTCCCTCAGCACTTACAACCTGTTTCCCGTTTCCCAAGACTACACATGAGCCGAGCATCTGCTTCACCACCCACTTCATCATCTCCTTGCCGTCCTCAAGCCTCCATATGCGTATTGTCTTGTCGTAGGACCCTGTCGCTATTTCCTTGCCATCCGAAAAAGTTGCGATTGAATTGATGCTCCCATAATGACCCTGAAACGTCTTGACAGGCTCTCGATGTGATTCAGGTAACTGTTTGCAATCTTTCATGCTCAGTTGTTCTCCCGCTGAGTTCCTCATCTGTTATACCTAGCGGGAAGTTAGAGACACCAAAAAGGATAGTGCGAGAGATCTACCAATTGCTGAAGCAATAGTTTTGGTCAAGGTGCGTGGCTGGTGAAATACGTCTACAGCATGCAGCTCATTGCAAGAAGAACGACGTAGGCGCTTGTGCCGAAGCACTGCTTTATTTGGGACGACGCACTATATTTTTTCGGTCTGTTTTGCCGTCGCAAACAAGCGCTGGGACACGAACCACTCATCATATCCTCCATCAGTCGTACCCCGCTCTGCACGGCATACAATCCACAGAATACACTATTCTATCCCCCATGAACCCACTTCCAATTTTCAATCCCTACGACTCGGAACAGTCTTTCACAGTTCACTCGCCCCTCTACACGCTTTTCAGCATGAGACAAACACCCTCCTGTTAAATTCCTTGGTGTGTACTATATGCGTGAAGATCGTCGTTTGAAAGTCAGTACTTTATCTGTCTGCGTAAGAACGATGTCTTCATTCCATTGACAAGTTTCCCTCTTTTGCATCACACAGCCAACATTGATGACAGGACCAACCGCCTACGACTAGCGTCTTAGTAATGACATTATTCCTCTCTTCTTTAAAAGCCACTAGAGGCTGATGATTTTCTCTGATTTTTTTTAATGCCTTCAGTGGCACTCGGCAAGTCACCACCGTCTTCATGTCCAGACCCTAGTACAAGCGCCAGTGCAGGCCCTAGGGCCAAATACGAGGGCCAGCAGATCCAGACCGGGACAATGAACACATGCGAGACCAGAACCGCAGGCACAGGTGCGAATTACATCGCAGGTTAACGATACGAACACCACGACGAGCACTGCTAGTGAACCTTCTGAGCTACACCTGAGAGCTCACGAGAGCAGAAGAAGGCATCGGGCGCCACTGTAGAAAGCACGAATTATTGTTGTTTTGTATTCTCTCGTGCTCATGAGCTGTTTGCTTGTTATTCTCCCTTGGGTTGCAGCAAACCGAGATTTCCAAACAATATGTAAGCACCTGCGCCACGGGAGAGGGATCACCTTGACTCTGTCATGTCGGCGTCCCACAAACCAACTTAGTTCCATGACCCGCTGGCTAGCATATTGCTGTCGGGACGAATGTCTGAAGTGATCACCACGCTGGTGTGACCATCCAATGGAGCTCTGATGACCTTCCCACTCTCAGCAACGTGCACCCATGGAGATGAAGCGAAATTGTGAAGCAACGACGGCAGACGATACTCTGCTGGGCTAAATTGGAGCGCTTCAGAGTAGTGCTTGATGCTAAGGTCGAAATTGTGTGGGTTTCCCCGTTCCTTGAACAGTGTGCCAGTGACCGGTTGGCAGGTTATTTAACAAATCAGCGTGTTCTGGATGAGATGGTAGTCGCATGTGTAGAGCTTCGCTGTAGCAGTCTACAGCTGCATCAAAATCATTAGGCCCCCCTGAAACGCAAACCTGGGAGGTCCTATCGATATCGTGCTATCGAAAACAGCCGCGATTGTGATGGAGGGGGGCTTTGTTTGGCAAATCCTTTAGATCCAAACAGCCGCTTCGTGCTATAATATGACAGTCGATGTATTGAGCAAAGCCGCCCGTTGAGCGCCCCCCTAGTAGAACACGTGTACATGTAATGCTGAGAATGGCTGAACCGATACCCATGGGACAGAATGTGGTTACGAAATCACCTACATGCGAGAGAAAATAATATGATCACTGGTGTGGTAGAATGAGTTTGATAGCCAACGCGAAAAACAAATTTCCAAAACGAAGGAGGATACAACTTAGTACTACACACAGCAAGAAAACCCGCACAACACTAATAATCATTGCTGTAGCGTCCACAGGGATAACACATCCATACCAGAAACCTGTTGAAGGAACCTTCAATTGTCGTGTGTGAATCTGAGTCGTGATTGGTGTGGTGGTTGGTCACGAAGTGCGATGGGAACGCGTGCGATGATGAACCTCCAATAGCTTGCGAATATTGAGCTGCATTGACGGCTACGACGTGCGATGGGGATACATGCGATGATGGACGCCCAGTAACTTGCAAAATTTGAGGTCCATTGGCGACCACAGTGTGCGATGATGGCCCTGCCTGTACAGAGACTACTTGGGAAGATGATCCCGGCTGTGACGAGCTGGCACCTAAGTGAGGAATACCACCCGTCACCGCTGATGGCTGTGTCTTGCGTACCCGCGGCATTGCAACATATCTCTGGGAGTTCCGTCTCTAATAAGAATAAAAGTGTCCAGAAGAATTAACTAAAGCTTACCTGGAACCCGCGCACAGCATATACCTCGACGACCTCGGGACGTTTCATTGCTGGAGCAATGTTGGTGTCGGAGGGGTCCTTTCCTCGAGCATGCGTCATCCTTATCCAAAGGTTTCGATTGTCCTTGCTATCGAGGTCGTCGGTGTGACTGGAATAATCAGGCAGTGGGTTCTGCGCGTCGGTGGGGGGTTCGTCTCGCCGTTTGCCTTTATTCTTTCTGGCGCCGAGCGGATCATTCACAGAACCGCACTGAAAGTCGTCGTATTGAGGTGACATTGTGGGAGAGCTAAAATGGCACTTACATCATTGTCACCTTGCTCGCCTTTGCCTTCTCCCAGTTTGCCTTCTTGTACTGGTGGATTGCCTATCATGGTTGCGAGCTCCAGGGATGCGTTTGAGCGAGCACGATGAGTGAAGAACTTGCGCTTCGAGCGTTCTTTTGGAACAGACTCATCTGCCGGTGGGTGAGGGCGAGAGAAGACCTTGAAGAAGCGGCGAGCTGAAAATAGGTGGGGGAGATGGGAGCCAGGGGATACCGATGGAAGAGATTGATGCGAAGACTACAATTACATGTTGTCAGCAGTATGTATTTGCATGAGAAACACGAGTTTAACCTGGAAGAAGTTGTTGTATGGATGATCATTCCCCTCCTCGATGATGCCATCGCCCCCGGTAGCATCAGCCTGCGACAGCACTGTGAGCAAGAAAGACAAAGACAGGCGGTCAAACGTGAAAATACTGACGTCAAGGTATGAAGATGGGGAGTTGTGCCGAGTTTTAGCCTTGGAATGTGTGTGTGTGAGCATGTGAGGGAGAGAGATCACAGTGGGGAGTAGTCACCTCGTTCTTCACGCTGGCCAGAGAAACACTTTCTGATGCAGCGAGGACATCCTCAGGTATTTCCCATTGCGAGATTTTGTTGTCCTTGCCGCCACTGAATATGGAGCGTCCATCCACCGAGAATGCAACACGAAACACCAGATATGAGTGCTCAAATCGGGCGACTTCTGTGCCTGTGGGGAACTGCCATAATCAGACAGTGTGGTCTTCAGATGCTGATGCAAGAAGGGTGCCAGCTGGGTTCAAGACGATGTGGAAGATGGGTTTATTTTTGTCATGGCCAATCCAAGGATCACCAGCCTGTTTCGAGGCGGATGTGTTCCAACAGCGAATGACAGCATCACTTTCACTACCGGCTGATAAGAGATGTGCGTCATCACGACTCCAGGTGAGCGAGCAGTTCGATGCATTGTTAAAGTCGCTGTGGCCGTTGAATTGAGCAAGACGCTTCCTTGGTTCCAAGTCCCATACTTGGATATCTTTCGCGGTAGCAACGCCGAGTTGACCGGTCGGAGAAAATCGGATGCAATTGATGGGTGATCCGCACGCAAGAGGATGACCTTTCCTCTGCCAGGTAGTCGTGTCCCATAAAATCACTGTGCGATCATATGACCCGCTGGCCAATATCTCACCGTCAGGGGAAATGTCCAAAGTAAACACAGCGTTGGTGTGACCTTCCAAGGGACCTGCGACGATCCTCCCACTCTCAACATCACGTACCCATAACTGCCAATACGCCACTTTATCGACATCGTCGTCTTGAAAACCTTTTTTAGGATCGCTTCTTGGGTCCTCTCCCTCGGCACTGACAACTTGTTTCCCGTTTCCCAAGACCACAAGTGCGCCAACCACCTGCTTCACCACCCACTTCATCATCTCCTTGCCGTCCTCAAGCCTCCATATCCGTATTGTCTTGTCGTAGGACCCAGTCGCTATTCTCTTGCCATCCGGAAAAGTTGCTATTGAAATGACGCTTTTATCATGACCCTGAAACGTCTTGACAGGCTCTCGATGTGATCCACGTAACTGTTTGGCATCCTTCATCCTCAGTTCTTCTCCCACTGAGTTCATCGTCTGTTATGCCTAGCCGGAAGTTAGAGACGCCAAAGAGGATAGTGCGAGATATCTACCTATTGTTGAAGCAAAGGTTATGGTCAAGGTGCGTGATTGGTGCAATGCGTCTACAGCATGCAGCTTATTCCATGAAGAACGACATCGCCTCATGTAGGCACTTGTGCCGAAGCACTGCTTTATTCGGGACGGCACACTATATTTTTCGGTCCGTTTTGCCGCCGCAAACAAGCGCTGGGACACAAACCAGTGCAGGCCCTAGGGCCAAATACGAGGGCCAACAGATCCAAGACCGGGACAACGAACACATGCAAGACCAGAACCGCAGGCACAGATGCGAATTATATCGCAGGTAATGATACCAGCGCCACCACGAGCACTGCCAGTGTACTTCTGAGCTACACAAAAAGCCCTGGAGGGGCGAGGGTGGAAGGATATATGGACTAGTGCTTTCACCGAACGGGAAGATGATGAAAGGCATTTAGATGGGTCACAGCAGCCGGGTGAAGTCGCTCTCGTGGTCTCTCAACGGGGACCAAGCGTGTCCTTTGATGGAACAATTCTGATCCGAAAAGCAGAAAACGGAAGAGTCAAGGTGAGTCCGAAAGCTGCACAGCTGTAAACTGTAACTCAAATCTGTTGCTTCTTGGCATGATAGACCAACGGTAATCCTCGGTAGTCTCTCTCAAACTGTGGTTAACTATTTATATATTGGCCCTCACCTCATCTCACTGGCAGGTAATACGTAGACGCAGGCTGATCATCTATGGACCACGGCAAACCCAAACTTCAGTCGCCTTCTCGCATGCGTTCCAAGTCAATGCATGAGTACATGTACATAATATTACGAGCGTGAATGGCTCCCCAATCACCGCGTATCTCTCTCTTGAATGTGTACACAGTGCACTGGAAGGAGGGGTGCGGTGGAAGTCAATTTGCTTCTTCTGTCTCACGCGCCGTTGTTTTTCGTCTTGCTCTTTTGTTTCTTCTCCTGCTCATTCACGCTCCATAGATATCACCAAGTCCCCATACCTGCAGCAGCAACCTCACATGTTCGCTCTCACCGAGCTAGCACTCGTGGAAACAAAGGCGTGGTGGCCTGTTGCATTTGGGATCTGGGTCTCTGCTGCTTGTGGTTCTGGTTTCTGGAGTCGTGATACTGTCTTTTGGGCGGACGACAGCAAGTTCCACGCATTACTATATTATTGTTCACTCCTTACAATTGACCCCACGACCGAACAGACGACTGGGTGTACACCAACGACCTTTGGGCAGATTCGTGCCGTATGCCTATCGAGGCTTGCTTATTTAGCATCTAGGATAACGAAGCGGAGGCGTTGGTTGAGATTGCAAGAGGAGTATTGGTGTTCGGGGCCAGGTGAGCTCAGCTTTAGCGGATGATATTGGCATGTCGATAGATTGTTGATCGTGATCATTTGCAATTTATTTCTGAATCCCGAGGCACAGTTAATTGGAGACGAGCACCAATGTGGGACCTGAAGACTGAAACTATCTTGACCCTTGAAAGTTAACGTCTTTTAGGTTCTAGGGCCTGCGGAATAAGCCTGGATGACGTGGATAATGAGTTAGTCACACGTCCACATTATTCATGTCCAAACTCAGGTGCAGTGTACATTGAAGCGTATCGGAATTGACCTGGAAATAAACTCTGTTAGTTCCCTGGGGAAGACTCTTGTTCCGCATCGTGGATTTGATTGTCATAATGCGCCTAATCTCTCAGTTCCTCGTCCCCCGTAAGTGTTGCGACCTTGTTTCACCTCTCCCTCGCATGCAACCGCACAAAAATGTCCTTCCTCCCAATGCTCCGGTTTATCAACACGATTTTGCACTCCATGTTCCTTCTACTACATCCGTCAACTCACAAGAATGTCGCTTCAGCGTGCTTGCGATGATGTCAGTCTTCGGCCTGTTCATCGTGCGCCATCCCGATACTGTGGTCGACCGCTTTCAAAACAAGCTTCTGCCTGTGACTTCTCAGCTCACTGCACGCCTGGTGGGCACCAATCCCTTACTCACTATGATACGCTGACGGCCACCTCTTCGATGGTCGTCCAAGCTGTAATAACTCCATTCGATAGCCATGCAACCTTGACTCTGGACGAGAAAGGGCTAGTTTTCATTGGCATTACCAGTAACCTTCCGTTTTGAAGTTTAAGGGCGCGACGCAGTTGACGTGCAGCGTATATCGCTCCATGAAACTTGAATGCACCAATCAAAATAGTTACAATGGACATCAACATCTCCATTCATCATACTTCTCTTCGATTGAGGACTCACGTCCCCAGATGATGGCCATTGCGAAGCATATCCGTAAGGACCTCCAACCTATCGTGGAAATGAGAGACGCGTAATCAGGGTTTCGGGGTGACACGAGGGATGGGCCCAGGGCAAACATGAGGCTGTGGGGTACTACGTGGAGGCAATTGAGGAAGGTCGGCTGTGCTCGCGGGCACCTCTGAAGTTCTGGTTCAGGGCGAAGAACAAACGAATGTACTGGAAGGACGACGTACCCATGCCAGAATTCACTTGCATGCTCTGTATCTTGTGTCCGCACGGCGCACCTGTGCTCAGCTATGTGGCCTCGCGTATACTATTATGGCTCGTCCCGGCGATCAGATGCCGGACGGGAGATATATAAATTTCGAGGTCACGATCGTCAGGACTCAGAAGTCAGAAATTGTACGAGGCCTCGGGTGTTAACAAACGCGCTGCCCAGTCGAGCGGTGAACAAGACAGAGTTACAAGCCACCTGCACAGACAAACACGGTTAGACAGCAGGGAAAGTTGATCTGCTGGATAAGTCCTGCAAAGCAACACAATAGGTCACGATAGAGTGTCAGATCTTCACTGACGACTGACAGATAACAACGGATCAGCGTATGGGGCAGGAACAAGTCCAAATATGTGGGAGAGGAACACATCCGCATTTGAATCCAGGTTAAAGACCGCAACCTCGGGAAAATGCATGCCTGGAAAGGGATGGCTTGCAAGAGAAGTACCTCGCTGCTCGAGCCTGTAGATGTCATCAATATCGGCCGCACCCACCAACACTCTACCAACCCATCCAAAGCCTGAACAAACCTCCAGAACAGCAAGCGTTTGAGAGACGCGGATGCTCCAACGTCGAGGCTTCCTATGCACAATATAAGCATACCCCACAAGAACATTGGCCAGCGCCCATCTTTGGGGGGTGAGTTTATCTGAAAGTATGCAACAGCCATTGAAAAATTTACAAAATGAGTACTTACGCGCTGCCCACACCAAGCCCCCCATCGCATTCGCAAAGGCTACTGACTTACAACAACGCTGAGGATATCCGACTCTGAATAACCAACTAATGCATACTACAAAATTCGGAAACATGCCTCACGACAACACCTGCTGAATCGAGGTCATTAGCTATCTGGGGATCGAAGGAACAAAGGTCCCAGCCAGTGGTCACTAACACTGGGGCGACAAGATCACTGAGTCGCGTAATTTGTCTTCAGCCGCATTCGGAGTTCCTCGAACCTGAAATGCAATTTGTTATGTTTCTACTCAGCGTTCAAGTACTTGACCAGCGCTTCAGTCATGTCGAGACGCCAAACCAAGCATGAAGAAGCGACAGTCGAATACAGAAGTCCGTGCCGAAATAAAATAAAGAGCAGCCTACCAAAGTCAAGTCGCCTCCAGCAGCAAAACCACCGGATACAGATGACGACCGCGCAGAAAGCAAGGGTATGGAAGAAGAAGAAAACGAAAGTGATGACGAGGGCAACAATGAGGAGTCTGCATCTGGATGGTTTCCGGCGTATATCTCTGGAGTATAGATACGCTGCAGAAGATGGCTGACCAGCATGACTGAGCATTGTGGGGGATAATAGAGTCGCGCGAGGTGCAAACTTCGAAGTATGCACGTATTTAGTTATGTGGGTGGCAGGTGTGCCAATGAACATCGAATCTGAGGTGTGAATTGACTTCCAAGCCGAATAAGCGAGTCAGTGTATTGGCCGGCGTAGGGTGTGGGGAGTAGAACTTGCGGTGGCTGAAGAAAGCGCGATCGCAACTGAGTGACTCGCAGTGAACCGTGGACAACTCTCAGAGGGTATGCGTCAAATATGCATATCAGTCAATTGGGTTTCGGGACGCGGCTCTTTCGAATGAGATGATGTCATGTGGTCAGCTAAAGCAATATATTACCGCTCGTGTACATCGGACGGTGCAGAGCTGGGTATGAGATGGTCCATCTACTATGCAAACAAAAGAAAATGATTGAGTGACAAAGTGTCTCAGAAAATGACATCATGGCTGAAGTGAGTTGGAACGACGACGATAGCCAAAGAAAAATCCGCAGCAGCTTACTCCTTCATAGACGTCTCCCTCTGGCCTGCTGTTCAAGGCTTGTGTTTGTGTGGGCCGTCCGTAAGACACTTGTGCCCCCACTGCAGGTTGACCTGGTTGCATGGGACTGTCGACCTCATTGCCGCTTGTATGTAGCATAGCTGCAGCCGCTTCTGCGTCAGATTCAGGGACAATGCCGTATCTCTGCACAGTGATTTTAATGATATGAAAGAGCAGCAATGACAAGCTGCTCACATCTTCGTCGCGGCAAGCGGCCACATCAACGGGACGTCTGGAAGATCTTACGGGAAATGGGTTGGAATTCCGGTGCCAAGGCTGGCGGGGTATTGGTTTGGGTGCATTTGAAGGCCGAGTACTGAAATCCAGGGAACTGGATGTAGTATTGTTTCCTCGAGCCTGCATTACCCATTCCCAAAGGTTTCTATTATATTTGCTATCGAGGTCGGCAGGGGGAGTGAGTGCATGAGACAGTGGGCTCTGCGCGTCGGTGGGAGTCTCGTCTCGCTGTTCACCTTCATTCTTTCTGGAGCTGGGCGGATCATTCGCGGAACCGCACTGAAAGCCGTCGTATTGAGGTGACATTGTGGGAGAGCTAAAATGGCACTTACATCATTGTCACCTTGCTCGCCTTTGCCTTCTTGTACTGGTGGATTGCTTGTCATGGTTGCGAGCTCCAGGGACGCATTTGAGCGAGGACGACGAGCGAAGAACTTGCGCTTCGAGCGTTCTTTTGGAACAGACTCGTCTGCCGGTGGATGAGGGCGAGAGAAGACCTTGAAGAAGCGGCGAGCTGAAAATGGGTGGGGGAGATGGGAGCCAGGGGATGCCGATGGAAGAGATTGATACGAAGACTACAATTACATGTTGTCAGCAGTATGTAGTTGCATGAGAAACACGAGTTTAACCTGGAAAAAGTTGTTGTATGGATTATCATTCCCCTCCTCGATGATGCCATTGCCCCCGGTAGCATCAACCTGCGACAGCACGGTGAGCAAGGAAGACAGACGGTCAAATGTGAAAGTACTGACGTCAAGGTATGAAGATGGGGAGTTGTGCCGAGTTTCAGCCTTGGAATGAGTGCGTGTGAGCATGTGAGGGAGTGATATCACAATGGGGAATACTCACCTCGTTCTTCGCGCTGGCCAGAGACACACTTTCTGCTGTTGCGAGGACATCCTCAGGTATCTCCCATTGCGAGATTTTCTTGTCTTTGCCGCCACTGCATATGGAGCGTCCATCCACCGAGAATGCAACGCGATACACCATATCTGAGTGCTCAAATTGGGCGACTTCTGTGCCTGTGGGGAATTGCCACAATCGAACAGTGTGGTCTCCGGATGCTGATGCAAGAAGGGTGCCAGCTGCGTTCAAGACGGTATGGAAGATGTATTTATTTTCGTCATGGCCAGTCCAGGGATCACCAGCCTGTTTCCAGGTAGATGTGTCCCAACAGCGGATGACAGGGTCTCTGCCACTACCGGCTGAGAAGAGATGTGCGTCATCAGGAGTCCAGGTGAGCGAGTAGTTCAATGCATTGTTAAAGCCGCGGTGGCCGTTGAATTGAGCAAGACACTTCCTTTGTTCCAAGTCCCATATTTGGATATCTTGTTTGGTAGCAATGCCGAGTTGACCGGTCGGAGAAAATCGGATGCAAAATATGGGTGATCCGCACGCAAGAGGCTGACCTTTCCTCTGCCAGGTGGTCGTGTCCCATAAAATCACTGTGCGATCATATGACCCGCTGGCCAATATCTTGCCATCAGGGGAAATGTCCAAAGTATACACCATGTTGGTGTGACCTTCCAAGGGACCTGCCACGATCCTCCCACTCTCCACATCACGTACCCATAACCCCCAATCCACCTCTTTATCAGCATCGTCTTCATGAAAACCTTTTTGAGGATCGCTTGTTGGGTCCTCTCCCTCAGCACTTACAACCTGTTTCCCGTTTCCCAAAAGTACAAGTGCGCCGGCCCACTGCTTCACCACCCACTTTATCATCTCCTTGCCGTCCTCAAGCCTCCATACGCGTATTGTCTTGTCGAAAGACCCAGTCGCTATTCTCTTCCCATCCGGAAAAGTTGCGATAGAAGTTATGGAATCATCATGACCCTGAAACGTCTTGACAGGCTCTCGATGTGATCCAGGTAAGTGTTTGGCATCCTTCATCCTGAGTTCTTCTCCCACTGAGTTCCTCGTCTGTTATGCCTAGCCGGAAGTTAGAGATGCCAAAGAGGATAGTGCGAGAGGACTACAAATTGTTGAAGCAAAGGTTTTGGTCAAGGTGCGTGACTGGTGAAATACGTCTACAGCATGCAGCTTATTCCATGAAGAACGACATCGCCTCATGTAGGCGCTTAGGTCGTGCCAAAGCACTGCTTCAGCGGGACGGCACACTATATTTTTCGGTCCGTTTTACCGCCGCAAACAAGCGCTGGGACACAACCAGTGCAGGCCCTAGGGCCGAATACGAGGGCCAACAGATCCAAGACCAGGACAACGAACACATGCGAGACCAGAACCGCAGGCACAGATGCGAATTACATCGTAGGTACTGATACTAGCGCCACCACGAGCACTGCCAGTATACCTCTGAGCTACACGGAGGAGGAGGGGGGAAGGATATATGGGCTGATGTTTTCACCGGACGGGAAAATGATTGCGTGTGGGTGGGAGGACGGAAGCGTTCAGCGGTGGAATATCGACGGGAAGATGATGAAAGGCGTTTGGATGGGTCATAGTAGCCGGGTGAATTCGCTCTCGTGGTCTCTCAACGGGGGTCAAGCGGGTCCTTTGATGGAACAATTCTGGTCTGAAAAGCAGAAAACGGAAGAGTCAAGGTGAGTCCGAAAGCTGCACAGCTGTAAACTGTAACTCAAATATGTTGCTTCTTGGCATGATAGACCAACGGTAATCCTAGGTAGTCTCTCTCAACTGTGGTTAACTATTTATATATTGGCCCTCATCTCATCTCACTGGCAGGTTATACGTAGACGCGTGCTGATCATCTATGGACAATGGCAAGCCCAAAATTCTATACGAACGGAGAGGCTAGCGCTGCTTACGTTCTCACATCGGCATTCCGTTTCAACACCTTAGCTCCTTACGAATACAGAAGTTTCGTGCTTCAAACATCTGCAAAACGACGAAATGAACGCTTAGCTTACGCGCGTTACGAACCCTTACGAACCCTTACGAATTCAGTAGCGAAGTGTTGCGATTGGTGGAAGCTCCGCACGACAAAGATAACTTTTATACCACAAAGATAACTTGTATTTTCGATCGAGATAATCTAATCAAGGAGATGATCAGAGTCTACTACTACTACTGCGCACATCAACGAGATCTAGCACGGAGAAGTTGGAATAGAGTTTTCCACCTAGGTAGTAATACTGGAGACGCCCTAATGGTATCATTGATAAATTTCATCAATCTTTGGTACATTTTGTGAAAACCAGCAAAACTGAAATCAATCTGTACAAACACACCAGTTGAGAACTCGCGGAGGGTGCAACACGCAGCTGTTGCAGACAACGCCATAATGTTGTCGAGGCTGGTATCCGAATCGATGAATTTATCGTAACCGTCACGAAAGGCGGTGCGCGTAGTGATTTGGATGATGGCGTCGTGCTCAAACGGATAGCGGTGAGTTTGACCGTCCTCTAGCTATCGAGGGCTTCATCATCCAAACAATAGCACCTAAGAAATAGTAATACATACCCTGATTAGATCCCCAAATATAAAATTAATCGAGTCGTTCCCCGTCAGAAAATCGACGGTCGATTTAGCATGGTTGATCTGGACCATCACGTCGGTCCAGATTGAGAGTTGGAGGTTGTATAGATTTTCGACGACGTCGCGTGCGGACTGCTTGAAGCGGTTAAGTACCATCGACATTGGTGTAACGACGGACTTGTAGAGCTTCGATAGGTTGTCGTTGACCCATTGCTTTATCAAACAATCTAATATTGATCCTGTTAGTAGTACGCTACATATAGCACGAACTTGAAGAACTCACCGTCGGTGATGACGAGCGAACATGCATAGGTAAGCGCATGTTCGACTACAGTCATTCGACTGGCCAAATCGTGGAACGCACAACGATTGAGCGATTCCGTGATTACAGCGGTCTTCGCCTCCTTTACGATATCCTTCGATTTCGTGTCATCAATTAAACGTCCTGTGGCGGCAATTGTCGATGTAGAGGGGCGAGGTGTGGTAGCGATTGGCGTGGTCTCTGAATCCGGCACGACAGACTCGCGTGGGGGTCTAATGGGAGGGAGTTGGTACCGTCCCATAGTCGTTTTTTGTACACCCATCGTCTCGTCTCGCTAATGTATGGATAAGCGCAGGTCAGAAAACACAAACGCAAGACTCACGAAGACGACACCATCTGTATATTCTTGGCGGGATTTCTCCGCACCGCGAAGAGGCAAGTAGGTATAGACCATACGATATCGCGACACGATATCACCCTCGGCGGGTGTGAATGACCGCTGTACACGATCGGGCCCTACAGCGCGGGGAGCCATCCCAGTAAAACGGGACACTCTCGGTGGAGGTACGTGGTGCTGGAAAGTGGGCGGAGTAGACGTGTAGCCATCATGCGAGAAAATGGGGGGAGGATGTATGAGAGGGGGGAGTTCAGGTGTATTGATCAACTCCGGTATCTCTGACGGACACCCGAGTTGATCTGTCGATGACCGACCTGCGATGTTGAGTCCCGATTGTCGAACGACGGGAACATCCTGTCGAGTGATGAGTTAGTGTACTACTAGTAAGAGAGGAATTCACTCACCCGCACGACCCTTCGACGAACTCTCGAGGGCGCTTGGCTTGCAGACATCTTCAAGGGTCAAGTGAAGGAACAACGATCAAACGATAATCGATAATCAGTGCGCGGCGCAACATCATCTTCGGCTCCACAAAGTGCTACATTGGATAATTGTAGTTGTACAAACCAAGCACAGACTACAAATAAAGATATCTATTCACATTTCACGCTACACCTGACCGATAAGTACATGCCATCATACTATGAAAAAATGAAGCTTACCTTCGTATTGGTCAATAAAAATAGATTCCTACTCTGATTCACATTGGCGCTGTTGCTCGAGGTCTGAAGTCGCCTGTGTGTCTGGGGAAAGGAATATGTCCAGCTCATCAAGTTCACTATTCAACTGTTTGACCCTTGCTGCCTCTTCTTGTTGGATTGAAGTGATGAACTCGAGATCCTGGGAAGCACGCCCTGCATCGCGATCAGCCACCATGCGTGTAAAGAGCTCTGCCTCCTCAAATGCCCGAATGGTTTGTCCCTCCTGCTCCTGTTGCTCACAATCAATGAAATCTCTGAGCCTCGAGAGCTTCTTTGCCTCCCAAGCCAAAGCCATTGAAAGATGCCGGTGATATTCAAGTTCTGCCTCCTTGTAATAAGCAGCACGGCGCATTCCTTCAGAAGACAGCCGCTGCAAGCCCTGAGAGAATATTTTGCAGGTCTCGAGATATGATTATATGTCACTGAGAGTCAGAGCATAAAATATCGTAACATACCATATCATCGTCAAGGTCTGAATCCATACCGCCAGTCAATCTTAATCTTCCCATCACGTTTGCCATCTTACGCTCGGCCTGCGGAGTGGGGGGAGTTTTCCGGACATAAGGGTGGTAGCTGGACTGCAAATTCTGCTTTGAACGTATTCCACCCCGCTTTTTGTAGTAGGTGGACCAACATCAGCATGTCCAAGCGAAGTGACGGATGCTGCAAAGGATTGAATTAGGTGTTTTCTGAAATAATTTCTGAGATGATATGATGAGTACCTGGGGGTGATGATGAGGGACAAAGGCTACTAGGTGGAGAAGAGCTTTGGGGGCTATCACGGTAGACGCGAGTAAAAGCTTCAGCATAATCGACCTTTGGGAGAATTGGACTAGACTTTGAGCTATTCAATGGACTGGTTGGCGGGGTTTAGCCACTCGGAACCTGGAACAGAGACTCTGGAGGATACATGACTGGCGTCTCAGTCGCCTCGGTGTGCACTGTGTGGAACAGCAAGCTCTAATGAAAGTCGGAGTTTCAAAGACTTGGTGCTTTTCGAGTGGTGTGCAAAGTATCACACTGGCGGTACCTCAGCTGGTCATTCATATGGTGTATCCTCAGCCCCACGATCCATATAACCCCGGTTTTCAGCATGAGGAACCCGACTCTGAGTTTGCAGAGTTAACTGAAAAGTGAGCATTATGTGGTATTAAATGACTTACTGATCTCTTTCTCCAGTTCGCCCTTCAACATTGCTGTCGTCTTGTGTCCTAACTGCAAGAAACAATACCAATCAGCCGAGGCAATAATTGAGCATCTAAATAGTGCAGACTCATGCTGGCCAGAGAACCTCACCAACAGATCAATGCTGCCAGTACCGCAGGCTTTACAGCGACCGCCAGAGCAGACAAACTTATCAGCAAAGTATCACCCCACCTCTGGCTACCATTACATGGTTCCAGATCAACCACCTCCACAAAATATGTTTCAGCAAATGCAAGACCATCCTCTTCAAGAAGCCAGGGAGACTAATGTATGGTATCCATTTGATGGGCCGGGGGAATGGTCGCTCGCGAAATTCCTTGTCGAGAACCTCTCTCAGACGCAGATCAACAAATTTCTCAAGTTAGATTGGGTACATCGTCTAATTGTCATCAAGTAAATACTTAATTGACAAACTACTTCAGTTCCAGACGAGAGAGCGGCCGCAATTCAAAACAAAGGACGAGTTATTCTTCTACATGCAGCAGCTTCCTGGCCGTGGGCCGAAATGGCAGTGTACGAAGCTTAAGCTCAAGGGCTATGAGAGTGAACAACCAATTCACCTCATTTGGAGGGATGGGTTGGAGGTTACGAAGCAGCTTTTTGCAAACCCCGTTTATGCAAAACACATGTGCTATGACCCACACTATATCTATCAAGGACAAGAACGCCAAATTGGAGAATTTTGGACTTCGGATGATGCATGGGAGATTCAGGTGAGTAGTTGCGCTTTTGTTTAGAGTTACTTGAGTGATTGACACTTGATAATAGGATCAACTGCCGGAAGGGGCGACTATCGTTCTGATCATTGCTGCCTCTGACAAAACCCCAGTTACAAGACACACAGGTGGCCTCGAGATGCACCCATTATTCCTCACCATCGGAAATATCCAGGCCGATGTCCGCATGAAGGCTACGTCACATGCGTGGCGATGTACTGCGTTCATGCCAATACCGACTTTCGTTGTCAACTCTGATTTTCAAACTCTACTCCGGTCGCGTCTGTGGCACAAGTGCGTGGATCTTGTATGTTCCAATTTGAAGGTTGCAGCTCGTGTTGGCGAGTACATGGTCGATCCCTCGGCCAAAATCCGTTACTGTTTCACACCTCTTATCAGTCACATTGCCGATCTCCCTGAACAATTGATGATTGCATGCGTCATGAAAAACTCGTCTCCCGTCACCACAGCGACCCACAAAGAATTTGGTGATGAGACACCGCATCCTCCACGGAATGGATCGGACACCTACGCACTTATCCAGCAGCTTTGCAACCGTGTTGACCCATGGGATCTCATTGCATACGTTAGAGAGTCCAAAAAGCTCCATCTTAGCGGGGTGCACTTGCCGTACTGGAGAAACTGGAGGTGCTCCAATCCCGCTAGATTCCTGACACCAGAAATTCTGCACACGCTGCACAAATTTTTTTTCAATCACGTTCTTAAATGGATCAAGCAGATCATGGGTCATGAACTTGATGTACAGTTCAAGAGTCACCACAAGCGCACTGGTGTGCGCCATTTCTCTGGGGGTGTCTCTCATGTCAACCAAATGACAGGACGAGAGCACCGAGATATTCAGCGCACAATTGTGCCGACGCTGTGGGGTATGGCAAGCCCTGGTTTCATCCGCGCTGTGCGGGCAATGATCGATTTTATCTACCTTGCTCAGAATCCCCTTCACACTGAATCCAGCATCGCCTCCATGACTCAAGCACTTCAAGACTTCCATGATAATAAGCAGGCCATCCTCGATTCAGAGGCACGCCAGGGAAAGAGCGGCGCTAAAGACAACTTCTTCATTCCGAAATTGGAACTCATGCAAAATTTTGCTCGTGTGATCTCCCATGTCGGTTCACTCATGCAGTGGACAGCAGACATATCAGAACGTCTTTTAATAACTCACTGCAAATATCCATTTGAACGCACGAGTCGTCAGAGAGACTTCGTCCTGCAGATCGCTCGCATCCTCGATCGGGAGGAGTCCATCCGGCTGTTCGACCTTTACACACTGTTGTCCTCGTCTTCATCTACGCTGAGCGAAAGTGATTCCGTGTAGCCTGTTAGAGTAGACTACTGATCCGTTATGAGTGCGAGTATAATAGCTCGTCCCAAGGGGATTGCTACTGAAGGAAGTCTTCGCAATAAATGCGAAGGAATCAATCCGGCGGGCTTAAGATCTGTGCGGCGGACACACGGGTGAAGTCCGGTCTAAGGAAGGGAGTGTCCGGACGGAGGATGGTTCGTGTAGGACGGATATCTAGCGGTACGATGATCAAGGTGTCAAGGTGTCAAGGTCTCGAGGTGTCAAGGTTTCAAGGTCTCGAGGTAACGAGCTACCGGAAGTGGTCCGAGGTGCGGGAAGATGTCCGTTGCGACGCGGAAGACTAAGGGGACTTTCTTGATTACTTAGACTTAGATACAAATCCAAGGGAGCAAAAGGGAAGTGATATTGGTAGAATACGACGCAACTATTTATCAGAATCCGTAAGAACTCGGAATCCGCTAAGCGGCGGTAGCATCGGCGAGTCCGTAGCGCGGTAATATGTAAAGGACGGTAAGCGGCCTCATGTATGGGAAGTACAGGTAATACGGACTGCTGGTTGATTAGGGTGATAAAAGAAGACAAATGACGCACCAATGGGGATGGATGGACATGGATAGGCAGGAACCAAGGGAGTCCGTTGTCGGTATCGTATCCGATAGGTGTCCGGAAGGACGGATGCCAACGGAAGAGGCTGGATGGGTGGGGATGCTAATACCTGACCAGGTGGGCTCCGGATTGAACATAAGAGGTGATTGTGAGGCTAGCGCCGGAATGTTTGGTACATCTGCGGGGGACTCAAATACTGACCGTCCCCGGTCAGTCCACATACACGGATTTGGACTTGGCGAATTTTCTGGGAGGCCTGGGAGTCATGTGACTGTGGGGTCGGATGTTCGGATCGAGTAAGTGCGGAGTTTGTTTTGAACAATGGAGAATTTTGTGGATGTGGCTCTCTCCGTTCCACCCTATAAGATCCCGCTCCTTCCTCTTCTTCCTTCCTCATCGTTAACCACCATCCTTTCACCAGTCACCATGTCTACCAGCTTCTCTTTTGCCGTCGCCGTCGATCCCGTCATCGAGAAACTGCAGCGCGAGTTCACAGCCATTAGGGTGCGTTTGGATGGTGAAACGGCTTCCATCCCGGACGAGTCTGAGGGATTGGAGGAAGAGCGGAAGGATTGGATCGTGCGCTGGCAGACATTTGTGGTGAGTACCGCGTCCGTTTCTTGTTTTCCGCTGTTGCTGACGCGCGTATAGAAGGATCTGTCCGAGTGCACGGGTGCCCTGCAAGCTAAGGGCATCCCGTACACCTTCACGCCTGAAGAGGTTGCCAAGGGCGAGACCGGCAACACCACCTGTGCCCGCTTCGTCGCTGAAGTCAAGGCGGCGGACGAGGATCGTGCGCGCAAGAGCGCTGAAGAGGATCGTGCACGCAAGAGTGCGGCCGAGGCTCTGAAGACACCCGTGGTCGAGGGTAAGCCGGTGGATGAGGAAGGGCAAGCAACTGTGCGCGCCCCACGTTTGGAGAAGGGGAAGGGCAAGAGGACTGCTGAGGATGTTGAGTCCGAGGTAGAGGACGTGACGGACAAGGAGATCAGGGTAAAGGTGCGTGCCGGTTCTTTATCTTTCTTGACGGCTCAACTAAACTTCTTGTTTCAGCGCCCTCCCGTTGGTCGCATGACCCCATACAACCCTGCGATCGGCAAACCGTCTCCCCGGCACGCCGTTCGTTGCGGCAAGTGCACGCTCATCAAACGCGATTGTTACGGCTTTCCGGGCGTTTCTTGCGACAGCTGCAAGAAGTTGAAGGTCGGCTGTACCCACTCCAAGGGTAAAGGCAAGAGCAAGAAGCGCCGTATTGATACACCCCCCTCCCATTCCTTCCGGCTCCCGCGCTCGTTCGTCCGGGCGCGCTCGCAACTCTGCGGATGACGCCACTACCCGCCCCTTCCATCGATCCGGAACCAGAGGCCGAAGAAGATGCATACGGGAGGAGGAGGAATAGCTCGGTGCTTTCACCAGTCGGCTCATTCTGGTTGAGGATGAAGAGATTGTTATCCGCGGTGAGATCCTCCACCTCCGCGCCAAGGTTTTCCAGGCCAATGCCCTCTTAATGGAGGTGGCCAACGGCTTAGATCTCTTAGAGTACCGTTTAACCCGCAAGCAGGATTAGTTACCC